TCCATGGCTGGTGAATTGGGTTGCAGCTGTCCTGTATTCACGTCGGGTTGCTCCCCGACTGGACTCATGGACCTCAGAACCATGCACTTTGGCCCCAGGACTGCCACAGGGATCCGCCATCTCGCCTGTGCTCTTTAACGTGTTTACGAGCAAGATTGCAAGCCTAGAAGCACCAGGAGTTGGAAGGATACTGACTTTTGCGGATGATATACTTGCATATAGGCAGGGGGAAGAGAGGGAACAAACAGCCTGGGAGCTACAAGCAACAGTGGACAAAGTGACTGAGTGATGTACAGAAATGAGGGCTGTCGTCCACCCGGAAAAGGCGTCTGTTTTGTGGTGTTCTCTGGACAACAGAATCGTTAAAACTAATGTCCCAAGTCTCACAATAGATGGAAGAAACGTCAACAGAGAGAGCAAACTGAAGTATCTGGGAATTACATTTGACAGGAGCCTGTCATTTAAGGACCATGTGGAGAGTGCTGTGACGAGATGCCAAAAAGGACAGTGCACTTAAGACTATGGCTGCAATTGACATAGAGCAGAGAATGCTTTTCACACTATATCAGCACCTGATCCTGTCAGTGGTGAATTATGGCCTGGGACTGCTTACCGTCTCAAAGAGTCAGATGGACAAACTAGAGCGCATACAGAACACGACTATGCGGGTCATTCTGGGTTGCACCAGAGACACCCCAGTGGTGTGTATGCAATACATCCTTGGTTTGCCGACGGTTGCAGGTAGGCACAAGGTGCTGCAGCCGAAATATATCTCAGGGTAGCTGCAGACACAGACCACCCTCTGCATGAAGCTCTGGGTGCAGTTAAGGGTCAGCGGCTGATAAGAGGAAGGTCATGGATGGCTCAGGCAGAAGACACAATCAGACAGGTTTGCATCCTTGAGAACATTAGGTGAGGAGAGGAGTGGGTCAAAGTGCCATCTGAACAGTCAGAATTGTGTAGTCATAATCACGCTGAGCCGGGAATGCAGAGACTGGCCAGCAGGTGCCACAGAGGTGGAAATTCAGCAATTAATTCAAGATAATGCTCGCTCAGAGGATTTGATCATTTACACAAACCATTCAGTGTCAAGAGGCAAAAGAAGTGCTTGGGGCTTCTTAGGAAAAAATTAATGGTCGACGTTTGTGCAGGAGAGCCTAACATATGATACCACAACATCCAGCTTAAGAATGGAGGTGGAGGCGGTCACTGCAGCTTTCCACTGGCTAAAGAACACGACACACACACACATCGTGATTGTAACTTATTCAGAAAGCATGCTGAGGAAGATCAGAACAGGTATGCTTCGTGCAGAGTGGCATGCTTCGCTGCGGAGGACACGAGTGAGGAGTATTGTCTGGATTTTTTCACCGGGTTACGCCGGTGTGTTGGGAGGTGTGTTGGGAAATGAACAGGCGGACAGACTGGCTGGCTCTGCACAACTTCGTGGAATACTGATTCATGATACAGCAGATGTGGTTAGTGCCTTGTGGGAGAGCGTGTACAATTTGGAGGAACAGATGGATCACCACAGTCTGATGAGATTGATGCAGTTGGGGGTGACGAGAGGTTCTGGCAGATGCTCGAGGCTCAGAGGAAAGGCAAGACGGATGTTTAATCAGAACGCTACTGGCAACATTAGTATCGGAACTCTTCGCTGGCTGCTGAAGATAGGGGCGGAGCGCTTATGGGAATGCCCCGGGTCCTGTGATGTCGGTTCTTGAATCAAATCAAATCAAAATAATTTTATATTTGGATTTCATACATGAAATCTGTAATTTAGTAATTCGATGCACCAGGCTTTGATTTCTGCAGTTCGCTATTTAGAAAAAGACTGTTCTTGGGGCCTTGATACAGTGAAAAATGAATCCCACTATGAAAGTGATTGGGATCTCACCATATAATATTGGTTGGTTGGTAGTTGTATCCCACCAGGACATCACACAAGCTATAACACCTGGTGACAGAAAGTGCCACCATGCGGATGAGGATCACCCGTGGAGAGGTCCCAGAAACCCCTTTCAGCCGTTGGGCCATATCTAAGGCTAGGCCATATCTATGCCCCGGCTATATTCAGGGCCCCCGGCAGAAGCCAGGGTGAGGCTTCACACAACAAAAAATTGCATCCCATAGGGATGACTTTTGTAAAGTAATAATTTTACACCAGCAGCTGGTGTACTTCAGATATTATCCACAACGGAGACAAAAAATGTATGTATATCTACATTTGCTTTTGTTTCTGCAATTGCAAAACATTTCTCCTATTTTTCTACTGACATATGGCGGTTTGGCATGTCTTCATTCATTATTTGTATCTACATTTGTCTTTATTTCTGCAGGTCACAAAAATATTTCTCTTAAATTTTCCAGTCTGTGCGTTTGAACAGGTTCAAGAAGGCTCTAGTGAAGGACAGACACATGGCAATATGGCATTCTCCAACAACACTGAACAAACAAGAAGGAGAAGACTACAATGAACTGAACTGACATAAAAACTGGTTCAAAGCTGTTTCTACTTACCAACAACAGTCACATGTGTTGAGGGACCGTGTGCTGTTGATGTTGAAGAGGCCGCCTTCTGTTTCAATGATGTCCAGTCAAAAATGTAGTCATACTGGTGATTAAGTGTACGAAATAGGATCCTAAACAACTGCCTTAGGTATGCATAATCAGGTGCTTCTTCGAACCTCAGACCTCGACAGTAGTTCAAATACATGGCAAACTCTGAAGGATATCCCTAGAAGAAATTATAATTTTTAGAAGGCTGTTTCAATTCATTAATATCAAACTGCATACAAGACTAGGAAACAAACATATTTTTTTTTATTTGAAAGTTCTTTACACTTTGTAAGATATATGGAAACTCTAACAGGAATTATATATGTTTAGAAAGTTCTTTACACTTTGTAAGATATATGGAAACTCTAACAGGAATTATATATGTTTAGAAAGTTCTTTACACTTTGTAAGATATATTAAAACTCTAAAAGGAATTATATATGTTTAGAAAGTTCTTTAGAATCTTCTTCTTCGCGTTCATCCGCAGTAAACTCTCTGACAAAATGTTCTGGGTGTTCGTCCATCTACAGACTTTAGTCTTGTTTTAGAACCAGAGTGTTGTGTGCACATCCATTTCACAGATCTGGCTTAGTTGTATGCAGACTCTTAGTTCCTCATCTCTCAGGCAGATGTACTCTGACTTCAAAGGATAACCCCACTTAGTCGACATGCTTGTTGAGGAGACAGTAGGTCTATTCTTGTTTTTCCCACAATGGGCCCCAGAACCCACACGAGAAGTTTTTTAGAATGATTAACATATATGACAAAATGCTGGAAAGTCCTAGAAGACGTTAAAATTTATAAAACATTTTAAGAATGATTTGAGTTTTGTATGGAACAAAAAACGTTCTATTGTCTTTAAAAATATTACATGGGGAGACCCCAATCTTTGGTAAACCATCCACCGCAGGATACAACCTCTAGTACTTGAAACCTTTAACCGCACTTGCTAAACTCTAAGCCACATAGCACTTTTCCAATTATTTACAGTACTGTAATTTAATATTAACTATTGTTTTTTTCTGCATTTAAAACACAGCTAGTTCAAGCAAAATCAAGATTAGAACTTGCAAGCAATATTTTCTCTCTCTCTCTCTTGTCGTACCCCACCAGGACATCACACAAGCGACAAACACCTGGTGACACAAAGTGCTACCATTCGGATGAGAATCACCCGTGGAGAGGTCCCAAAGACCCCGTTCAGCCACCAGGCCATATTTATGGCCCGGCTATATTTAGGGCTCCTGGTAAAAGCCAGGGTGGGGTTTCAAATAACAAAAAATTGCATCCCACATGGGGACGACATTCTAAGTAAAAAATGTGAATACAAGCAATATTTTCAAAAACCAACTGACACTCAGTGGCTGATGTCATCAACATCATGTAAATTACCTTTACTTCCAAGAACATTTCCTTGCACAAATTTTTTAAAAAGTTGGGTAAGCCCAAACAAATATTTTTTTAAACAGCCTTGATGGGGACTTACCTTGTAGGTTCCAGTGAAAGGACATTCCAGTTGTATATTACTGACTCAAATTTCTCTAGGCAGTGGTGTTTTGTTTGGTTATGCCCCTTGATGCCACCTATCTTATATATCTCATACTGCAATCAGGTTGTACCCCCCCCCCCTCCCCCTTCCTCCCCCACCCCTTTATTTTTTGCCTATGATTTACATCTGTAAGCATGTTTTGTCATGTCTCAGATTTCTGTGTCCACATGTTTGTGGATCTGGCATGACAGCTTCAATTAGATAACTTTAGTTTCACTAAGGGGAGCCAGAGATAGAGGTAGCTAGAACTTCTTCTTCTTCGCGGCGTCTACCGGCAGAAAGCTCAGGTTGTTCGTCCATTTCTGAACTCTGGTCCTGTTCCAGAGCCTGAGTGTGGCATGCACATCTGTTCTACAGATCTGACTGCCTCATGTGTAGACAGAAGTTCCCAGTCAATCGACTCTTACAACATGCTTATAGTTAGACAGTGGGTCTATTCTTGTTTTCCCTAAAATAAGGCTCAAGAACCCACATAGGAAGTCGCTAGAACTGAACAAATCACTTTCTGATGATGGGTTATCAAGTAAAGGAACCATTTCCATGCTTACAAGGGTACCAGCCCTACGGCGTGAGTCCCATATTTGTATAGACCAATCAGCACTCTATATGTGATGTCCCCAAGACTATGTCAACTGGCTTTTCCTCCCAGGAAATTCTCTAGCACCCATTTTAAACTAGGCTGACCTTTGAGCCATGGTAAGTGCACAAAAACAACAGAAAAAGAAGTTTAAAGTTAAGGGCCGACATCAGAGCACTTGAGGTATTCCTAGAAACACTCCATCTAACAGTGATTAAATATTCATCCTGTCTTGCCTCTAAGCATTGAGATTTGTCAGATTTGTGAAGCTGCTTTAGAGCTTAATGATAAAGATCATGAAAGAAAAGAACATACTTTGCAAAGGACTTCTACAGGAGTTGACATTTTCTTCTCACTGATGCGCTCATACTTCTGCTTCTTAGTTGCTGCCTATAGTTTTCACAGAAGCAAAAAATTATCAGATATCTTCATTTAGTGCACACAATATGTTTCAAAAAACAAACCGACATAACTCCAAAACATGAAGCCTGAGTTAATCAGAAAATGATATTATGTGTACAAATAGTAAAGTAAAGGTCCCTTTTCCGTGTCTTTAGGCATATAGGGCTAGACATATATTCTTATAGACCAATCGGCACAAGATAGGTGACTGCATCCGGTACCCACTCAAGGCTGGGTCAACCTAGGAGTCAAGGTTATATGTACAAATAGCATCCAGAAATTTGAATGCAGAAAATGTCAATAACTGGAAAAAATGAAGTTTAAGTCAGGCTTGTTTCGTCTTCTTTTCGTTCTCCCTGCTAGTGGTTTTTCAGTTTTCAAATGAGAAGGCCACAGACCTCCATGATGGTTGCCATGTAAGGTTTAGGTTTAAACAACTGATCAACAACATGGCACAAGGGTATAGCCCATAAGTGCTCCTTTCTACTTCTAACTCAAACCTCAGTCTAAAGAATCTCAGCGCACTGCAGGAACTCTATAGCACCAGCGAGGATGCTAAAATACTTTGGTAGGCTACTTTTTTTTCCCCAACTGCCAAGGGATTTTTTTAAACTGTGCAACAATACATTCGGGCATCCGATCTTACTACACATAGACCAGGAGAAATTACTAGAAGTCACGTGAAAAAATCCCAGCCTTCACAGGGGCCTCGTGTGAGGTATATTCTCCATTGATCTAAATGATTTGGCTACAACCAGAATGCCAACAGGCCAGACCTCGGATATTTCTACAGCATGTAGAGAGCATACCTGCTGTCCATGTTCAGTATTTAGTGGTGCTTGTCCACAAAGGTCAGGTTTCCAAAATTCTTCTTCTGCATTCAACCAAAGATGTAAAATCCATTGCGATATTTGCACCTCTGGGCCGACAACACTGACTTCTGCAGGCTTCTATTGCTCAGGTTAGCCTTCCCGGAAATAATTCTTCAGATAGTTCATGCCACGTGATGAAGACAGACATGTCTGTCAGCAGCCTTCTGTCGTGTGCAGTGTTAATTTTTTATACAGGTATTCCTTCCTGCTATGATACCAGACTGCCAAATCATCTTCTTTACCTTTCCCTTGGTAATCTTAGTTTCAGCTTCAAAGCAAACGGGTCACCCCATAGTTGCTCCGCTCCTGTCCAAAGAAAACACACAGAATGTTTATCACAGTCCATTGTGGAAAGATTGACAGACTGCTATCTCAGAATATGCACTAGCATACACAAGCATTAAAAACATATGGTAGCCATTCAAAGTGCTAACACAAACAATCCAACATTAGAAATGCAGTTCATCATCGATGGTGGCAGAAGTCACCAACAGATCAGCAGTTGCACACGTGATCTATTTTAATCACATAATCGCACTGCCAATATTGTGACAACAGGCCTCGCGCCATTTTCTGAATCTACAATTCATACCACCACGTTGGCCACAGTCGAAAAACATTTCAAATGAAATCCGAAGCTCAAAGTGTCGCACCATGCCCTCAACTCAGAAGCTGGGCGATGAAACATATCTTTTCAGTCTAAAAATGGAACAAAAATGCAACGGCCACCATCTGCAAAAGCAAAAAAATTGCCACGACTCAAAACAGTGACCGGGCCTAGCGTCAATTTTGACCAGAACTTTCCCATTGTCATGAGGTACTCTAGCTTTCCTGTTTTCATAAAATGCCCAATAAATGTGAATTATTAATGCTGTCTGTCGTGGGTAATCTGTTTTATCCAGGAGGCAAATGCTTTCAAGACATTGTCATTACACTTTTTATCTCTCTATGGTGTTCTACTAAATCACATTCCTGCAGCTGCCACACTTTTTTTTTCACTTATGGGTTGACTGTCATTGATTCACCTCCATACATCAAGATTGGTTCTAAATAGCTCTTAACAGCTCTCACATACCAACTGACAAAGACAGATTTTTACACAATTATAATATGCTCAATACACATCATGGAACAGCTCAGACTGACTGACGTTCAACCCCACCAGGACATCACACTGAGCGAAAAACACCTGGTGACATAAAGTGCCACCATTCCGAAGAGGATCACCCCGAGACAGGTCCCAGAAACCCTGTTCAACCCGTACATTGAGTTTTTTTTTGGGCCCACAGCAACAGCCAGGGTGGGGCTTTAAAACAATTTTTGTAAACTGCATCCGACATTAGGACGCAGTTCACATAATATCTCAGACATCTCATTTTCCTAATGCCCAAAGAACTATCTGTAGATCAATGAGTTCATTTTCTAGGCAGGGAATTTACAAAAAAATCAACGAATATCCAGTCTATGCTGACTTCCTTTTTTCCATTCTATACTGTATAATCTTTTAAACACTGTGGATGGAATCCAGTCCAACACCTTTGGTCTCTCTCACGGGCAGTCATCATAAGGTTTCTCTTGAATTTCCTTGTTCCTCAATCAATCTGTTTCCTCTTTCATTGCCTGTTTGGCCAGGGGCTGTTGTGTGGTTTTCTAGGCAAATTTACATCCAGTAGTTTGCCATTGCTTTCTGGACGGTTGGCTTTCTTGATACCACTGTCCAAACCAATGCAAGGCGCATGGCCCGCAGCTGGGATCGACCCAGCATCCCGGCATTATGAAGCGTTCGCATCGACTTAGCCAGAGAGCTGATGTTTTTTCTACACAATGTCCAAATACATCACCATTTTTATTATCTTACAACTGTTTAACCAGCAGTTGTCCAGATATTTCTCTGATTTTTTCAGCTTTCTTGCATTCATCATTATCATCATCATCAACATCCTGTAACACTGCATGTCACTGGGTCACCAGCTGCTGTTGACTGTCTGATCAGTGCCCTCCATTTTTGGCAGTCAAATGCCATGGACTTCATTGCTGCATGCCTAAGGCCTGTCCAGTCAGTCAGAGTTCTGTATCCAGTTCTTCCCTGGTCTGCCTCTTCTGCTCTACTGCACCCTGCAGTATTTTTTTAAAGGTCATTAGATCTCATTATATGTCCGTACCATTGAATTTTCCACCTTTTCACTGAGTTAAAAAAAGGTTCATAGTTGCCCATGTGCTGGATATTCATAACAGTGAACCCTTTTAAGGGTGAACATAAAAGAAGAATATTCATTGGAATTTGTTTAGTGCCATCCCAAAACAACTTTACAACAGTAATTCTGTCAAACTATTTATTTCCCTTGATTCTACATGAGCACCAGTTGATAAATGCTTGTATCCCTGGGTTCCAGGGCTCCATTTTTGGGGGGAAAAGAATAGACCCAAAGGCGACTAACTAGGGATTTTTTTCTTGAAAGCCAGAGCCAGCATGCCTGCCTGCAAGACAAGAAACCAAAAGTTTGCAAACAAATAAGCAGATCTGTAAAGTGGATGTGCATGCAAAGCTCAGGTTTTGGATAAAGGCCAAAGCCCAGGTTTTCAACTAGCAATAACCATGCCTCGGTAAAACCTCACTGGCTATGGTACCACCATAGCTTTGCCCAGTGGCGGTACCATAGCGAATGAGGTTTTCCCTATTATTGATAGCTGCTGCTGAATAATACTTGGGCGTAGTGCCGGTCATGTGCCGCGTAGTGGGTAATGAACAGGCAGACAGATTGGCTAGATCTGCACCACTGGGTGGTGAATTGATACAAGACAAGGCAGATGTGGTCAAGGCCCTTTAGGAACAAGCAACAGAATCAGTAGAGAAACAAGATTATTATGGCCTGGAAAGAATGAGGCACCTGGGTGTGGTCAGAGGGTCTGGTCGGCTCACTGCACTCAGGGGAAAGTCATTAGTTTATTGGTAGCTATGACTAGAAAGCATCACATTAGTTTATTGGTAACTATGACTAGAAAGCATCACATTAGTTTATTGGTAACTATGACTAGAAATCATCACAAAAGTTTATTGGTAACAATGACTAGAAAGCATCACATTAGTTTATTGGTAACTATGACTAGAAAGCATCACAGAAGTTTATTGGTAACTATGACTAGAAAGCATCACAGTAGTTTAGTAGTAACTATGATTAGAAAGCATCACAGTAGTTTATTAGTAACTATGACTAGAAAGCATCACAGTAGTTTATTAGTAACTATGACTAGAAAGCATAACATTAGTTTATTAGTAACTATGACTAAAAGGCATCACAGTAGTCTATTAGTAACTATGACTAAAAAGCATCACAGTAGTCTATTAGTAACTATGACTAGAAAGCATCACATTAGTTTATTAGCAACTATGACTAGACAGCATCACAATAGTTTATTTGTAACTATGACTAGAAAGCATTACAACAGTTTATTGGTAACTATGACTAGAAAGCATCACATTAGTCTATTATTAACTATGACTAGAAACCATCACAGCACCTTTAAACCCTGCCAAGGCAATGATCCCCTGTTGAAGTACATGAATACGTAACCCAAAGATTCCATGTCATCTCTACGGCTTTGTTCAATTCCCAAATGAGCATTGATACTGGCGTATCTTGCTGTGCCTGTCAGACTTTTGTCCTCTCTGTAAGGGATGTGTGCTCGAGTCCCGCTGTCACGATACTTCTTAGCCAGACCAAAATCTATAATGAAAACCTGAAAAACCAAAACAACCTTAAACTGTGGTAGTAGATTCAAGCTGTGAGTTCAGTACCACATATTTTCATTTCAAACTATTTGCTTAATTTCAGGGGATCTCTGTGGCAAAGTGGTTAAGCCATTTGTCATGAACTCTGAAAGCCGTGGGTTTATTTCACGGCCTGTGACAATCGATTCATGATGCAACTTTTATGGAGATCCCTGGGAATCATTGCTGGAGCTACAGATTTTGTTTCTGAACAATGCACTTGGTAGGCGGTTAGTTATTCTGCAGCATGAGATCGAGCTATGTTGGATGAAGCCTGGTGAGACTCTTAACTTTAAGTTGAGTGGTTTATTTTTAAATCCCATATGATAACATAATATTGATTAGGTCAGAAAAATGGGCTTTCATGTGCCTAAATTGTTGCCTTTTATGACATGCCTGTTAGGGGAGACAGTGGGTCGATTCTTTTTTATCCCCCCCCCCCCCCCCCCCCCCCCCTAAAAATGGCGGCCTGGGAAACCCATATGGGGACCCTCCAACTCAAGAAGCAGGACCCCTATCACTCTTGTTATTCTGCTGCCCACCTGATTCATGTTCTTCTTCTGTTTACAGCATAGCTGTGAAATGTGTGCCTTTCAGTCGACACATCTGTCTTCAGCGTTATATGTGTAGTGATTCTGTTATTCCCTGATCCCCAGCTGTTGTCCCTAGAGGACCCATCCAGGGCAACAGCATGCACATTGATAAACCCTCAAGAAAAAGCACAGGGCATGGGCATTATTCTCCAGCATCCAAGGAGGCTACCATAAATGCAGCCGATACATGGTGCTCTGGTACAGGGCTCACTCTAAGAATCATCACATCCTGCACATGACTGCTTAAGCTCACATTCATATATTGAGCCTTCGACTCATTACAGGCTGTGCCATTTAGGAGTGATTAATTATCTAGTGTCAAATGTTGCGCTGGCCTCTGTAAGACAGTGCTGCTGTAAGGTGGTCAATGGGTAATGAAAGTAAAGGAATATTTTCCATACCTTGGTGTGTGCTGGGTACATGGTATTAGCAGCATATTCTTTATTTTGCTGATAAGGAGTGTTAGAGCAGCTGCTTTTACCTATGAAGATGCTATTTGGCTCAATATCATGGTCCCCCGTGTGGGCTCCGGGGCTCTACTATGGGAAAAACAAGAATAAACCCACTGCCTACCCAAAAGCATGTCGTAAGTGTTGACTAATTGGGAGCTTCCTTCGAAGTCGGAGTGCATCTGCCCGAGTGACAAGGAACCAAAAGTCTGCATACAGATCTGTCAAACGGATGCACACGCATCACTCAGGTTCTGGAACAGGACTGCAGTTCAGAAGTGGACGAACAACCAGAACTTTCCGCCGGAGTTCACAGCTGATGAACGCGAAGAAGAACAAGAAGAAGAAGAATATCATGGTGATTGCATAAGACCATGTATTGTAGCAGGAAATGCCAGGCGAAGGTGGCATTTCAAACATGAAAAATATTTTATGCATCATGTCTCCCTCATTTAACATTAAAAAAAGAGTACTGAAATGTTATGTTGAGCCAGTGCTACTATATCGCTGTTGAGTTGAGCTAAGTCTAGAATTGGCATCACAGCATTTGGGGCATTCCCATATGCGCTCTGTCCCCATCCTTAGCAGCCAGCGCTGAGTTCCAAAACTAATGGTGCCACTCGTAGTCTGGTTGTATGTTCGTCTTGTCTTTCCTGTGAGTGTAGTTAGTGTGCTGGCTGAACCCTCTGGTCACACCAGGTGCATCATTCTCTCCAGCCCACAATTATCTAACTTCTCTTCTGACTTTGTTACTTGTTCCCAAAGGGCTCTAACCACATCTGCCTTGTCATGCACCCAGTGGTGCAGATCCAGTCTGTCTGCCTGTTCATTTCCCACCATGCTGGCATGGCCTGGAGAAAAGATCCAAAGTATACTCACTACCCATGACCTTGCAAGTGAAGCTTGTCACTCTGCTCGAAGCAATCCTGTCTTCACCTTTATCAGCATGTTTTCAGAGTCCGTTACAATTACGACATGTGTATGTATCTTGTTCTCTAGCCACTGGCAAGCTGCAGTGACTGCCTCCACTTCCATTCTCATGCTAGATGTTGTGGTATCATATGCCAGGCTGTCCTGCACTAAAGATTTTCCATTGGCTTTAGCTACGAAACCCCAGGCATTTCTCTTTCAGTGTTCTTGGATAATGTGATGGAAAGAGTAGCCTCGGGAAACATCATGAAACTGAAAAGATCAATGGTAGCAGAGGCAGAGGCAGACCAACAAAGACATGCCTGATGGTCTGAAGTGATGGCATGGTGGAATATCACCAGTGGAACCGTTTCAAAATACCATGGATAGAGATGTGTGGAGAGACATGAGCTTCTACACAGTTTAGCAAGGCATATATAATGATAGCAGTGTGTTGTAATTTGCATATTTATATCATCAAAGTCCGGCCCCTAAGCAATTAAGAAGAACATATGTACACGAGTACAAAATTATGTTGAAAATGAGTGAAGAAGCAGCACTCACTTTGTTGCAGTGGCTGCCAGTGCCCATGAGGAAGTTGTCTGGTTTAATATCACGGTGAATGAAGTTCTTGCTGTGTGTGAACTCAACTCTGTTCAGCATCTGAAATTATAGGATCAAACTATAGACCTCCCCATGTGGGTTCTGGACTTCATTTGAGGGGAAGAATTACCTTCACCAACTCCCTCCTCTTCCCGTCCCCCCCAAAAAAAAACAAAGCATGTCATAAAAGTCGACTAATCAGGGGTGTTCCCTTTGCAGTCAGAGTGCATCTGCCTGAGAGTTGAGAAACCAAAAGTCGGCACACAAATAAGCCAGATCTGTAAAATGGATATGCATGCACAACTCAAGTTCTGGAAAAAGACCAAAGTCCAGAAGTGACCAAACAACTAGGACTTTCCACTAGAGTTTACAGCTAGTGACACAAAGAAGAAACTACAGATCGTAACCAGTAATGATACTTCCACTGATGGCTGGTTGGTTATGAATCCTCTGGAAGACTGAGTATTGGTTATGAATCCTCTGGAAGACCGAGTTTTAACTCTAACCATCCCATGAGGTTGCTACTTCAATACTTTCTATTGTACAGTTGCATTTTAGAGTAATACTCATTGTGATGTCACGAGTTAAAGTAATATAGTTATGGGTTAGACTGAGTCATAATAGCAAATCTGTGGTTAATGAACAGAAAACTGAGGAGGGAGAAGTTCAGAAAAGTATATCATGTATTAAGTAACAAGTCAATGTACATTTAGTGTGTTGTCTGGCAAAACTAGTGTGGTTGCCAGTATGGTGTGGTGACTGCTGAGTGATCTCGAGGTGTGGCATCTGCCTTGAGTGTTGGAGGTCCCGGGTTCACACCCCGGGGAGGGCTGAGATTTTTCTTCACAAGGACTTCTAGTAATTTCCTCTGGTCTCTGGGTAGTAAGATCGGGCGCCTGTGTGTATTGTTGTGCACATATAAAAATCCCTTGGCAGTTGGAAATCGAAAAAGAGTAGCCTAACGGGCTGCCCGGGCAAAATCTAGATTTAAAAATCTACCCAAAGTATTTCAGGATCCTCGCCAGTGCAACAGAGTTCATGCACTGCACTGAGATTCTTCAGACTCAGGCTTGAGTTAGAAGTAGAACGAAACACTTATGGGTTACACCTGTGTGCCATGATGTTGATCCATTGAATTATCATAAACAGACTGTGAGCTAATCGTTCTTCTAAAATATAAGGTTTAGCCTCAAGATATGGCAGTGGGACACATTCTTGTCACTGTTGACATTAGGTTTTAATTGCTGCTTCCACTGACTATTCTAGTGTTGGACCATCTGTACTGGCACTTCTGATTGCTGCCTTATGCACTTACTGTACATGTATGCTGTTGGATTTGTTAAGACTGCAGTCTACAGTGTGTCAATTTAGCCGTCACCAGGGACCTTTGCAGTCATTCTGTGTAGTTTTTGATGGCACAGGAACTGAGTAACTATGGGGTCACCCATTTGCTATAAAGCTAGAACTGCAATTACCTGATTACATTAGGCTGGTGTAGAAACTGTTTTCCCAAACCGGTACCTGGTGTCTAGATCAATTCAACAGATGACATCCCTACCATCCCTCACTGTTTCAGGCTATCCAGTAGCATTTCTTTGTCTGCCTCTGTTCCCCCCCCCCCACCCCAACCCCATCCCCCACGCCAGTGACCTTTCCAGTCTTCACAATGTTCAGAACATAGTCTCTTTCATATGGCTGTATACAATGTTCTACCATCCTTAATTTATCCCAAACTTTTGTTGTTGTTTCCCAGGTCGACCCAGCGTAGAGTGGGTACCGGGTGCAGTTCCGGGAAGTAAAGGCGGCTGGCTTGATGCTGACCACATAACCCATCTTGTGCCGATTGGTCTATAAAATACAGGTCTAGCCCTATAAGCCTAAAGGCGTGGAAAAGGGTCCTTTACTTATTGTTGTTACTTACTCAGGCTGACTTGGGTACTAATAACATCAGTCTATGAAAATATAACTCTACTGCTTCCAAGACTTTCATATTTCAAGATTTACTGCCATACATAAGACAGGCCTGACATGAGCCTTCAGCCATCTCTTTCTGACGTTCAACAAAAGTTATAAATAACATATAAAGAACTGTCTTCATGGTGAACTTGCGGCTACAGAAATTAAACAGATCTTCCAAACTCGGCCCTAACAAATCCATAACCAGAACATTAAAATCCCTCTCTTGACCAAACCATCTGAAAATGCATCACAAAATAAAACGTCACTGTAATGGTCAGAAAGCAAGATTTCAGAAATTGTAACTAATTAGTTGATGAAGTGATGATACTTAAAAGTATTTAAATGTGATCATGACAGTATAACTGTGCAAGCATACACTAATATTTAATATTTATTAAAAAGAATAAGAATGCATATACATAAATTATTAACATAAGACAAACTCTTACTCCCCCCAACCAGACTGCAGTGACGCAGCCTGTTGTCGAAATCAACACAAGGAAGTGTCTTAGTGCTTTGGTCAAATCTTGTTTGCTGACTGTAACTTTTGTTGCATCTTTGGTCTCTAGGACGACTTAACTTCTTTAAATAAGTGCAGATTTTGTCACCACCATGTGCCTTATCTGACAGACGGTGCTGATGTAAATTTTTCTCCACAGATTTCAATTTAATATTTTACATTTTTGGAATTGGTTTTGCCATTAGTAGCTTGATCGGTAGCTGACGTGGTGTAGCAGAGAGGCGCTTAGCACCTGAGGATCGGAAGGTCAGGCCCTGACCACACCACCCACTGAGTGCCGACTGATCTATAAAATATAGGTCTAGCCCTATATGCTTTTTACTTTTATTGGTAGCCTCATGAGGATATGATAACACCTGTGCCTTGTTCCTACTGGATGGACATGGATGAGTTTATGATATTAAGTACACAAGTGAAAAAGTGGACATCTAACCTTACATGAGGGACACCAACACCACCTGCGAGAATCTTGTATAGTTTGCTCTCATACAACAGCTGAGGATGTCTGGCCTTTGCTGATTCCAGTTTAACTGCTACTTCCTGAAAGTAATGTTAACTCCTTACATCCGAGTCACTTGTTACTGCAACACTTTTCATTCTTAATTTTGCTATCCCTAAGTTTGTACACTTTAAAACAGGGCTATTCAACTAAGTTTCTTCTTCTTTCTTCTGTGTTTACCGGCTGTAAGCTCTTAATGGGAAGTCCTGATTGTGCGTCCATGTGGACTTTGGCTTTGTGCCAGGGTCTGAACTTTGCATGTACATTGGTTTCATTGGCTTTTTTGTGTGCAGTTGGTTGTTCCTTGCCAATTAGCTGTGGCGTAGGTGGCTAGACGCCCACCTGCAGATCGGAAGATCATGAGTTTGTGTCCTGATGGAACTTGGCTTTTTTTTTTTTATTACTTTGACAGCAGTCCTGGGAAGTACAGGCAGCCAACGTGACTACAACCACTGTAACTAACTCACAGAGCATGCTGAGAAAGATGAAGAAAAGTATGCTCTATGCAGTGGGGCAAGCATCACTTCAGAGATCCTGGGTTGTTAGGGTTGTCTGAAAATTTTCACCAGGGGATGCCGCTGTGTTGGGAAGTGAACAGCCAGAGAGACTGACTAGTTCTGCATCATTTGATGGTAAAGTAATGCATGACAAAGTAGATGCTGTAAGGTTCCTTTGGGAGCGAGGGAACAGTAGGAAGGCACAAACAGATCATCAGGATCTCAGAGGTATGGTGCTATGAGAAGTGACCAAGAGATATGACCAATGCTCAACACTAAAGGAAAAGGTAAGTCGGATACATAATCAGACTACTACTGGTGCCATATGAATTGAATTGGAACTCTAAACTTGCTGCTGAAGATGAAGAACACAGCTCTTACAGAAATGCCCTGAATGCTGTTATGTATTCTTAATTCAACTCTCAATGAAATTATAGTCTACTGGTGGAAGATGCAGTAACAAAGTAACCAGATTTCTGCATGCCAGCTCAAAGGTAGTGGGTTTAAATCTACATCAAGGCAGATTTTTATAATTAACCATGTGTATAATTGACTGAGCCTTAAATGGGAAGTAAAAGTGTCTGGCGTGATGCTGAACACATCACCCATTGAGTGCTGACTGATCTATAAAAATATGGGAGACACTATTTGCTTGATGCATAAAAAGGATCCTTTATTTGACAAGGAGCATACAGCTGTAGGTGAACACTAAGTCTGTTTTGCAAAACTGCCCTCGAAACAACTGAATTGATGAGATAAGTATGAGGATTAATGTTTGTCAATTTCAAAATCATATTCTCAGATATCAGTCTTTGTACATCTGGTTTTTTTTACTTTTGGCAATTTTATTAGAGTTTAGCACTTTGAACAGTAACTGGATGTCCTGGCCCAGGTTCATCTTTTGCACACCATCTTGAGGTACATCCTCATAAACAAACATGAACAGTGATTGAAATACAGAGGTTCTTGAGAGACTGAATGAACAGGGACAAGCTGAAACAAAAAAGGGAGACAAATTAAATATTTCTAACACATCAAAACATTGTTTAAATCCTACAGCGAGGAACATTTTGAAGCAAACCAGCAGAGGTAAACGGCAATACAAGTGGGAGGGTAACATCAAGAGATGTAGATGTAGTCAATAGTAGTCTCAGAGAGTCAGAGAGCAAACAACCAGGGCTAAAGACAGATAATTGGGATACCATTATTATCATTTGCAGCCAATTTTATTGTGGGAGAGCCGCACATAAGTTATTTAATAATGTTTAATAATTTTTTTTCAAAAGCCAAAAAGAAAGAAAAAGAAAACTGCGGCTATATTCCGAATAACGGTCCCAAATTATCGAGGCAGAAAATATACCCTAACAGGGCCTCAGTCACGTGTCAATTGCGCACTTCCGACACCGCTGAGAGTATCCCCCACGTCGCTCACGCGGCGTTGATTGGGGCTAAACTAGATGGCTGGGACTCACGAGCAGCAGCTACCGTATTTCCTGCAGCTGCCTTGATTTTATTTGCTTGTGAGTCCCAGCCATCTAGTTCAGCCCCAATCCACACCGCGTGAGCGGCGTGGGGGATACTCTCGGCGGTGGCGGTATAGTCCCCCGGAAGTTCGCAATTGACACGTGAATGAGGCCCTGTTAGGGTTTATTTTCTGCCTCGATAATTTGGGACCGTTATTCGGAAGATGGCCAAAACTGCTGATAGAGATGTCTGGCGATCTATCTGGCAAACCTCTCCAGACTATACCCTACAGTAGAAGAGACGCGAGACTAAGTACTTAAAGTATGCTAAGTAAATAGTAAATTAATTTCAAATAGTTAACCTACCTCACCATTTACAATATTAATGGCCAAGTATATATCACCGAAGGACCCACTGCCAATCTTCCTCACAAGACGATACTTCCCCGCAACAGTGAAGTCACCTTTCGTGGACGAAGCTGACAACGGCGGAGGACAAATGGGAAAAGGGTGTAAATCCTTAAGCGCTACACTGAGTGGTTGTTATCAGTATACTGTTCTGTATGTCTTAATTGTCAACAAAATACCGTCCTTTTTAAGGACGAAATTTTTCGTTATTTGAAGCCCCACCCTGGCTCTTGCCGGGGGCCGCAATATAGCCAAGCCATAAATATGGCCTAATAGCTGAACGCAGTTTCTGGGACCTCTCCACGGTGATCCTCATCCACATGGTGGCACTTTGTGTCATCGGATGTTTATCACTTGTGTGATGTCCTGGTGGGGTAGAAAGTCAGTCAGTTCTGTATGTCAGATACATAATGATATTGAACATTGTTTACTCTACCACAAGAAATATAAGTGAGCTCCCTAGGACTTCCCTTAATAATTACATGATTACATGATCCGCTGCAAATAGCCTATGACAATTGAAAATATGCTGGGAGTAGATGGTTCTAGAAAACTGACTACAGCAAAGGATTAAACAGCCCATCACAAGAACAGGGATTATCATATGAGGTGTTAATTTAGCTCAAGGCAGAATAACGGTATCCCAGATAACTTTAAATAGCCGCAAAGATAGAGAATATAATTACTATAACTGTTTGAAAGTACATTTAAAATGTATTGAATATGACAATTTATACTCCTACACTCTTATACGATTAATAAAGCTATGTGATATTGCGTAACCAGATATAATTAGTAGTCACAAATATCCAATATAGATATAAAAGCCTTATGTATCACAGTTATAATTCAGATTGGTTGAACAAGATATTATTGGGTACTTTTTTGATTTACCCCCAAACAAAGGTCATCCCGGAATTCCTGTTGTTGAGTAATTTATTTTTAATCCACCCCAAGCAAAGGACATCCCAGAGTTCCCGGAAAGTTCAATATTATAGGGTTGTTATGGGTTGGTTTTATGGTTAGGGTTAGAGTTAGTGTTAAGGTTAGAGTCAGGGTTATGGTTAATCGGTGTCTCTGAGGCGGTCGGAGCTGACATAGATCGTAGCCCTAACCCAGAACACCCCTAGAATATTGGACTTTCACGGCAACTCCTTGATGTCTTTTGTTTGAAGGGAATTCGAAATAAAGTACCCGTATTTGTGCGCTGTGACATATATGCAGCTTCACAGTGCTGCAAAGTTGGGGGAGGAGGGAGCAGCAACGTTCCACAACCTATTATTGGTAATCCGTAAATGAATGACGATGCTGAAGTTTAGTTGTGGGAAGTGTTAAGTAAGTCACCGCAGAGGGACGTTACACATCAGGGCTATTCAGCTATCGGCCCGAGAAACAAATCAGGCCCTCAGAGGCCTAGAAAGTGACCCATGGATCATCTGTCGATTGTATTGTGCGACCATTCCTGTTTCCTAACAGTCTGGCCCCTGAGTAAATAAGTTTAGATGAATGACCCTGCTATACATCCTAAATGTTGCATCTGCGACCGGGTCGCCAATTGGCTGGCCGGTAGACGCCTTCCTCTTTGCCGGTAGGGACAGTATTTCATCTGCCTTTTATGATTGCATCAAGGAAGCAAGAATCCTTTTTATGACTAATCAGTGGCGAGCAATGCCCAGCCATATTATATGGCGTGCATAACCTAGTCATAACTATAACTTGAAGTTCATCCTTCGGGGATGCTGGTTGAACGTGACGATTTTTTTTTTTTTTTTGGTCTTTCTTTAAAGCGACCACATCACGCGAGATTTGAGAAAATCTTTTAGCAGGAAAGTTGCTGGGAGGTAGGATTAGGGTTAGTGGGATTCGCTATTTATTTAACACAGGACCTAACCCTATCCATTCCCTTATACTATGGGATTTCCCTAAATCTCGCCTGATGTGATCGCTTAAAAGAAAAAAAAAACTTTTTTTTCTTCGTTTTTTTTTTTTTTTCATAACAAGCTAAGCCGAAGACATCCTAAATTCGACTCTGCATTGACTCCATTTTATACTTTTAAGCACGGTATTACTTATCTTTAGTGTGCTGTTGTACGTCATAAAGGGCTATCAGCCTAGTGCTCCAATCCGACCTATCTTGTGCAGTCATCTAGATATTGGGGATGAAATCCAGTCTAGTGCATTTGGCCTCTCTCGAGAACATTCGTCTAAGAAAGGTGGGGACAGGTTTGCATCATGCAGTGGGGCATGCATCACTTCAAGGGTCCAGGGTACTTGGCATCCTTTGGATATTTTCTTCAGCGCATAAAGGTATGCCAAGGAACGAATGGGCGGACAGACTTGCTGGCTGTCCACCACTTGGTAGTAAAGTTGTGCATGACAAGCTAGATGTTGTCACGGCTCTTTGTGAGGGAGTGACAGTGCGGAAGCACACTTAGATTGTCATGGCTTGAAAAACAATTGGTGCAACGGGAAGCAACTGGGAGTTCTAGCCGGCACTCCACCCTCAGGGGAACGGTAAGACGGACTTACAATCAGACTGTTATTGGTACCACTGGAGTTGGAACTCGTCGCTGGCTGCTTACGATTGGAACGGAGCGCTCATGGGAATGTCCAGAGAAGAAGAAGAAGAAGAAGAAGAAGAAGAAGAAGAAGAAGAAGAAGAAGAAGAAGAAGAAGAAGAAGTAGAAGAAGAAGAGGAAGAAGAAGTAGAAGAAAAAGTGGAAGAAGAAGTAGAAGAAGAAGAGGAAGAAGAAGTAGAAGAAGAAGAGGAAGAAGAAGTAGAAGAAGAAGAGGAAGAAGAAGTAGATGAAGAAGGGGAAGAAGAAGAGGAAGAAGAAGAAGAAGAAGAAGAAGAAGAAGAAGAAGAAGAAGAAGAAGAAGAAGTAAAGAATAGAAGGGCTTGGCGGGAGCTGGCTGAAGTCCTATGCTCCATTGGAACTAGATGGTAGTGGTGGCAGAAGAAGAAGGAGGAGAGAAAGAAGAAGAAGAAGAAGAAGAAGAAGAAGAAGAAGAAGAAGAAGAAGAAGAAGAAGAAGAAGAAGAAGAAGAAGAAGAAGAAGAAGAAGAAGTAGAAGAAGAAGAAGAGGAAGAAGAAGAAGAAGAAGAAGAAGAAGAAGAAGAAGAAGAAGAAGAAGAAGAAGAAGAAGAAGAAGAAGAAGAAGAAGAAGAAGAAGAAGAAGAAGAATAAGAAGAAAAAGAAGAAGAAGTAAAGAATAGAAGGGCTTGGCGGGAGCTGGCTGAAGGCCTATGCTCCATTGGAACTAGATGGTAGTGGTGGCAGAAGAAGAGGGAGGGAGGGAGGGAGGAGGAGAAGAAGTAGAAGAAGAAGAAGAAGAGAAGAAGAAGAAGAAGAAGAAGAAGAAGAAGAAGAAGAAGAAGAAGAAAAAGAAGAAGAAAGGGGACGAGAAGGAGAAGCATAAGTAAGTAAAAGTAAAGGACCCTTCTCCACACCTTTAGGCGTTTAGGGCATATAGGGCTAGACCTATATTTCGTAGACCACTCGGCATAAAATGGGTGATGTGGTCAGCATCACGCCGGCCGCCTTTACTTTCCGGGACTGCACGCGGTACCCGCTCAAGGCTGGGTCGACCTGGGAGCCAAGGCCATTTTCGAAAAAAAGTCCGGCTTCGTCAGGAAGCGAACCCACGAGAAGGAGAAGCATAAGACAGTTTAATCTCAAACATAATCCCCCCCCCCCCCCCCCACACACACACACATCTTATTTGTCGATAAAGTTGATGTAAAAATTGAGTCTCTTGTGTTGAAAGGTATGTAAATAATTGCAATTTGTCCTTTAGCAAATTGCGCGATTCCGTCCTAGATTTACCCAGTATTGCAAATCTGTTCGGATGGTAAAAGCAGGGAGAGCTGCTGACTCAGGAAAATGAAAACATTTGGTTACTCCTACCAGAGGAATGCTTCCGTGTTCACTCACACGCTTTTCAAAGCACGCCTGGCCCGTCTTCGTTTAACGTTCTCCTCCCAGTAGCGTGAGCCTAAATTCCAGACACACAGGAAGAAGCCAGCACATCTAGAAAGGCCTGCAGGCGGGGGTGTCGTGTGGTAAGCCAAGCTGAGATTTGAAAAGGATCTGCTCTACAAAGTTCTGCAAGAATTCTGCTACGGTGAGATTAATCTGCAATCTAGGAAAGTTAAACTATTTCATTTCTGTTTTGGAAATATCAACTGATTTTAAATTCTGTGCTGTACTTATCTGTAAAAGTGGTATAATAATTGTTTTTGATATTCATGTAAAAAAGTTATTTTTAGTAATCGTGAAAAGTGCACCATTTCATATGCTGCTTTGTGATAATTTATACATGGATTGATAAGAAACTGGGAAAAGTCGATTGGGGGGGGGGGGGGGGGAGGGGTCTGAATCTGCAGACGAGTTTTAAACCTTTTCTGTTATGGCTGTATAAAGAAACATGGGTATTTTACTTTGCATTTAATTTACAGTTAATATTATTTTCAGCAAAAGCAGATTTAACCAGCAAGAATTTGCATAATTAATATAATTGACACATAGTCCTGTATATTTCATATGGCATTGGAAAAAAGTGTGTTGTTTACAGGTTGATTGGTTATTAAATCCACTGAGAATTCAGTTGTGGTATATTAACGTTTAAGCTATTTTAGTCGTGAAAAGTACTTGCTGCTTATTAAAAGTAACCACACCGTTTTTATCACAAGACAACCAATGGCTGGGAATAAAATTAGGTCTATATAAATCATCCCCATGTGGGATGCAATTCGTTATTTGTAGGCCCACCCTGGTTTCTGCTGTTCATAGATATGGCCTAACGGATGAGGGGGTTTCTGAGACCTCTCCACTGGTGATCCTCGTCCGCATGGTGGCACTTTGTGTCACCGGGTGTTTATCTCTTGTGTGATGTCCTGGTGGGGTAAAAAGTGGTTCAGTATTTTTTTTTATCGTGGATGCAATTTTTCGTTATTTGAAGCCACACCCTGGCCTTTGCTGGGGACCCTGAATACAGCCGGGCCATAAATATGGCCTTATGGTTGAAAAGGGTTTCTGTGAAGTTTTACATATTTTATTAGTAAAAGGACTGCAAGCCACTGCCTAGAAGGATTCTCTTTATGATAAATTAGATTAGTGTCAAAATTCGTGTTTTCTTCCTCTACAGCCCAGGTTGGCAAGATAGTCTAATGCAAGGACAAACGCAGAAGAAAGAAGAAGAGCTGATGAAGCTTTACTGTCCAGTATATACTGGTGTGCATGGTAGTTAAAAGGTCAGCAGGCTGTCTACAAAACATTTCCAGGGAAACACTGTGGTTGAACAACTGCAAAGTCATAAATGCATAATAATGATTTCTTGCTGCATGATTGGCGGCGGATGAGAACCACAAATTAATGAGCTACAACTGATGGAAATCAAGATTCTAAATGGCCCTAGCAGGAAGAATTCTGTAGAAAATGAAGCAGGAAATGCAGGTGGAAATAATCAACTGGCTAATAGAACAATATGTTTCCATCTTCTTTTACATCTTCTAAAGGAAATAAGAGAATCTGTGGGCATCAGTGCTGGATGACAGTTTTTTTACATTGGAAGTTTTATTATATTTGTTCTTTTGCAGATCTGCCACAGTACAGTTTCCAGCTAATAGTGATTTTGAACTTTCAAGAGTTCACTAATGTCACTATAATGTAGGGAAGGTATAGTAGCATAGTGGTTGGACGCTCACCCAGCAAACTAAAGGTCTTGGATTCAAATCTGCATTAGGGTGGATTTTTCAGAATTGAACTATGCTCCCAGGTCTATCCAGCCTAAAATAGGTAGCAGGTAATATCCTGAGAAGTAAAGGTGGCTGGCGTGAAGTTGACAAGGTCACTCGTCAAGTGCAGATTGGTTTATCTTCTTCTTTGCGTTCACCAGCTGCAAACTCTGGTGGAAAGTTCTGGTTGTTCGTCCACTTCTGGACTGCAGTCCTTTTCCAGAATCTGTGTTGTGAGTGCATCCGTTTAACAGATCTGACACATGTGTGTGTAGACTGTTGGCTCCTTGCATGTCCGGCAGATGTACTGCGACTTCGAAAGAAGCTCCCAATTAGTAGACTCTTACGACATGCTTTTTGGTAGGCAGTATGTCTATTCTTGTTTTCGCCATAATAGGGCCCCGGAACCCACACGAGGAAGATTGGTTGATGAAATAAATGAGTCTAGGATCGTATGCCTGATGCGCCAGAGGTGTAAAAAAAAGAAAGGGGAGCGGGTAGGTCCTATACTTACTTGAATAAATGAATCAAGAATTGACATTCCTGCACTCCAAACACTCCCAAATCTTCTCCATCTCCTTCTTCAGTAGCCAACACAGAGTCTGTATGCTGATATTACCTGTTGCAACCTGTTTATAGGTCTGCCTATGTTTTCCCTGCAATGTTAAATATCTTCCAGACTCCCTGCTCACCCCTCGCTGAAATAGTCTATCAGTGCATGGATGCTCAGTCTGTTCTGTTGCACTGTCCACTTGATCCCAGTCAGCCTTCATCACTTCTTCTTTATTATAACGTAGCTCACCACCCAGAGGATCGGCAGCAGCCAATTTATCAGCTTGCTCATTATCCTGCAAACAAAAATTTCCTAGACAGAAAAATCCATTATATTCTCCTGTTATTAAGCAAAGCAAGCCGCTCTACTCGTAGGACGCCAGTTTTCCGAAGCATGCTCTGTGAGTGTACTTACTTGCATCAAAGAAAACTTATCTTTCTTGACATGAATTTCAATCTTTTTAATCAATGACAGCTTCGCATTTGTTTTAGGCACACTAGCACCATGAAGACCCTCTTGCTGATTTTGATAACTGGGCTGGTGGCAGTATGTGCTGACAAGTGCACAGAGAAATGTGCCAAGTGTGAAGTGGTAGAGCGGTCAGAGTGTTTAGCAGGAATGGAGAAGGATGCTGAGTGCGGCTGTTGCGATGTTTGCTCCAGGTAGATCACACAAACATTTACTTGGAAATTTGTTTCTCTACTTATGTTTCCTATTTGCTTGCTGTTTTATATTGTGTCCTTATACACTGTATTCTTCTTCTTCTTCTTCGCGTTCACCAGCTGTACACTCTGGCAGAAAGTTCTGGTTGTTCGTCCACTTCTGAACTGCAGTTCTGCTCCAGAACCTGAGTGTTGCGTGTGCATCAGTTTTACAGATCTGATTCACTTGAACCAGACTGTTGGTTCCTTGCCTCTCAGGCAGATGCACTCAGACTTCAAAGGAAGCTCCCCAGTTAGTTGACTCTTACGACATGCTTTTGGGTAGGCAGAGGGTCTATTCTTGTTTTCCCCACGATGGGGCCCAGGAACCCACACGGGGAATACACTGTATTAAATGCAGTCTTTTCTGGTTGACTATTTGTGCAGCTATGAGTCGTCACAGGTCGACCTATCCTTAAAATGGGTACCAGGATGTATGTCCTGGGGAAGTAAAGACAGCCGGCGTAATGCTGACTACATTACCCTCCTTGTGCTGATTGGTCTATAAAAATATGGGTGCTTTTCCCATATGCCCTATGCGCCTAAAGGCATGAAAAGGGATCTTTACTTTTTTACCTATAGGTGCAGCACTTGTTGCTGTGAGTCCGTGCTTCTCAAGGATTTCCTTAATATGGCCAGTTTGTCACATCCTATGTTGTCTTTATTGCTCTGCTGCCCTCATGTAATTTGTAATATGCTTATGAAGCCAGTAAATTTGGAGAAACTCTTGTTGTATGACAGAACTATTTGGCACACTCTCTATGTATTATATTCATAACATTTTACGTTTTATCAGACTTCATAATTTGGTAATCTGTTCTTACTTTGTTTTCATTGTATGTGCGTGTTGTGTGCGTGCGTGTATATGTGTTATGGATGTTAGTTCTAGTCATAAATTGCTTGACCTTACCATGCCTGTCTGTGGGGTTGTCTATATGCAGCAGGTTTTCTATCGTCATTGACAATATACAGTTTCATATACTAGTAGTAATTTTTCAAAAAAATCTTGTTCTATCCACAGGGTTATAATTAGGATGTATATTGTTCATCGAGTTTTCAGAGTATTTATTTGTTACTTTATATATTGTGTAATTATTTATATGACCGATATGTAATTTATTTTGTTTCACATATTGCTTTAATCTTGCTTGCGATTATGTTAGAAACTGTAATATGAATAATTAGACAACGATACTAACATCGTGTCATAAACATGTTGAATCTGTTATTCCCTTAGTGTAATAGTTGATTTTTCTCCTCGATTTTATCTTTAGGGAAACTTCTTCAAAGATGGCATAGGTATTCTTTACCATTCTGTATCTGGATTTAAGTTGTAGTAATAAATAGCTTGACCTTGCCACTCGGGGCTGTTTATGTGCAACAGGTTTTCCATCGTCATAGGTAATTTACTGAGATTCATATAGTCACCTAATGGGTTCTTTTTAATTTTTTAAATTTTCATGTTTCTTACACTCCAGCAAATAGTGATCTATATTATTGTATTTCGGGCATAGATTCATATAATTCATAAAGTCAGTTAATGGTTTTCTTTGGGGTTCATTTTTTTTTTTACATTCCAGCATAATGTTTTTTTATGTTTATTCAACGGATCAACATCATGGCACACGGGTGTAACCCATAAGTGCTCCGTTTTTTTTTTCTTTCTAACTCAAGCCTGAGTCTGAAGAATCTCAGCACATTGCACAAACTCTGTTGCATCGGTGAGGATCCTGAAATACTTTTTAGGTAGATTTTTAACTTCAAATTTTGCCAGGGCAGCGCCGTTAGGCTACTCTCTTCGATTTCCAACTGCCAAGGGATTATTAACGTGCGTAACAATACACACGGGCGTCCGGTCTTACTACACAGAGACCAGAAGAAATTACTACAAGTCCATGTGAAAAAATCCCAGCCTTCACCAGGGCTTGAACCGGGGACCTCTAGCACTTGAGGCAGACAGCATGCTATCGAGACCATGCAGCCTCCCCCCCCCCCCCCCCCCACCCCCCACATTCCAGCAAGTAGTGTTCTATATCCCTGTACTTCTGGCTGCTTTCTGTAATCTGTTATTAATTCTTCTGGGAGTGAAGGAGTTAAAGTTACCACTTTGTTCTCTTTGCATCAGATTTGAAGGCCAAAAATGTGACCGAAAAGGAGCAGCATACAAGCATGGTCAGTGCGGTGATGGTCTAGAGTGCAAGTCCACTACTGGTGGCAACATCTGTCAGTGTGCCTGGGAAGAAATCATCTGTGGTTCAGATGGTGTTACATACACGTAAAATGGCTGTATTATGTGTTTATTTTCATTTTGGTGATTTAATTATTCACAAGCACTGCATAAAACAAAATTTTATTTTTGTAGAGGTAGTTACAACTAAAATTAACATTCTTATAGAAATAAGACATAAGTTATTATTGCTGTCCTCTTTTTGAAATTTATTTTAAATTTTACTGACTATAATGTGCTCCCCATGTGGGTTTCAGAGCCACATTTATGGGTGATGGGAGTGGGGATAGGGGGATAGACCCCACTGCCCTCTCTATCAAGCATTGCAAAAGCAGACTAATTATCAATGTTTCTGCGCCATATACCAGTTTTGAATATACATAGCACTTGACACATCTAATCTTTAATGTTTTCAAAAATCTCTCTAGATGTTAAAAAGTTTCTGTGTTTTTGAAAGTAGTTTTGGCAATTCTTATTCTCTTTTTCATTTCTATTTCACTTCTACCATTATCTAATAGGAGATCATCGATGTAAATTATGTTTTACTAGCTGTACCCAGCCACACGTTGCTGTGGCCCAAAATGGTAAACTGGAAAAGAAAGAAAATAGAAAGCACACCTGTCTAATATAGTTAATATCAGTCATTGCACAGCTACAGAGATAGTCTGATATGCCAACTCTAGAACACACAACATATCAGTGAATGTCCATATTAGTGGTCAAATAAAGTGCACTGTTAGAGAGAGAAAAATATAATATTTGTTAATTGAGGCTAAAGCATCTGTTGTGCTTACACAGGTAAAAGTAAAGCTGACGGCTATACCTCTAACTGACCAACAAACTGGCACCCCCCAAAAAAATTGAATAGCTGAGGAAGCGGTATTAAAATATAAATATGTAAGAAATGAGAACTGTAAAATAAAGTTATAAGCTCTCTGAGCTAACAGTGTCTGTCATAACCTGCACTCGTCATCTCTCCCTCTCTGAAAGGACGATTTTTAATTAACCTTGGCATCCGTGTTGACCCAAACCAAACTGGACCGTAAGCCGTCTTAGTTAACAGTTTCCGTCATCAACTAATATTTTTGATCGAGTGAAGCGTCGATGGGAGGCTAATTTGGACTTTACTGAGATCAGATGTCTTTGGGCGTAAGGCGCAGATATCGTAACCTAGCTGTAAACCACAACACAACGGGCCAACCGCGCCTTTAGGGGAAAAAGAAAAATTAGGACCCAGTGGGGAATCAAGCACTGGTCATCGCGTGAAGGGCGGAATACTTACAACCCTACTACCGAAGACTTTAGGTCAGATATTTTAGGTCAGATATCGCAGCCTAGCTGTAAACCACAACACAACGTGTCGACCGCCCTCTCAAGGGCGAACAAATATTACCCGTGACATGAATATTGAGCATCACGTCACCGCTATCGCAGGCTAGCTGTAAACCCCAAAATTGAGCGGGAAAAAGGCATAGATATTGCAGCCTAGCTATAAACCACAACAAAAAGTGGCAGCCACCCAGTTAGGGCCCCCTCCCAAAAAAAAATTTTCATCACCCAGCAGGGAATAGAACGCCTATCGCGTGAATGGCGAAATGCTTACAACTAACTACGCTAACATCTATTCAAGCATTTAGTAGAAAGGAAATTATATAATAATGTGAAGTTCGGTTTTACACACAGAGTCAAAGGTGGCCAACAACTAAAAATAAATCTGGGCTGGCAATGAAACTACTAATGAAATTATCGTTGCTGGAGCTATGTCATTCGTGGTTTGTGCAAAACTCCTACATACAAACATGCGCGGAGTCTAAGGTATCGTTGTGGGAAAATTTGAAAGCGATCGGTAAAGAAATGTCGGAGATTGATCCTTGGGGAAAATTATCTATTGGCAGCCCTGCTTAGCAGTCGAAGGTGGTCAATCAACTAAAAACAAATCCGGGCTGGCAATGAAACAAATAATGATTTGACCGTTGCTGGAGCCACGTCGTTCATGGTTTGTGCGATTTTCTGACAAAAAAATCACGCTTTGAGTCAAGGGCAACATTGTGTGAAAATTTGAAATCAATCAGTTCAATAGTCTCCTAGTTTATAGTTAACAAATTCGGAAAATTAACATTTTTATTAATGTAGATTCAAATTCAATTATATTGTCGATTTTAGGGTGCATTGGCTGATACTTGTCAATGCTTATCTACAGCTCACTGCTGAATGTTGAATTAAGAATATACATCATAGCCCTCGGGACACTCCCATAAGCACTCCATCCACATCTTCTGCAGCAAGCGAAAAGTTAAAATTCTGACGGTACCAGTAACTGTCTAATTGTATATCCGTTTCACTCTTCCCCTGAGTGTTGAGCGTCTGCCAGATCCCCTGGTAACTCCTCGCAGTGACATTCTCCTCACACTGTAATCTATCTGGGCCTCCACACTGTTCACTTGATTCTAAAGTGCTTGTCATACATTACTTCACTGCCAAGTGTTGCAGAGCTGGCCAGTCTATCTGCCTGCTCATTTCCCAACACACCAGCACCTGGAGAAAATATCCAAAGAACCCTAACTACACAGGACCTTTGAAGTGATGCTTGCCACTCTACACCCAGCATGCCTGCTTCCACCTTTCTCAACATGCTCTGTGAGTCAGTTACAATCACAGCATGTATGTACAGCTGATTCTCAAGCCAGCGGAAGGCAGCAGTGACCGCCTCCACCTCCATTCTCAAACTAAACATTGTGATATCATATCAAGGCTTTGCTGCACTAAGCAACATCTTTGCTTTTGCTCACTGCTGTCATCCTGAAAACAAGTTCCAACCAGGAGCCTTGCCAACATTGATAGGATCGAATTTTCCTTTAAAGTAGGAGTAGATCTGACTGAGAGGCAAGGAATCTGCACATGAACCAACAATCTGCACATAAAGGAGCCAGGTCTGTTGAACATATGTGCACACAACACTCCTGCGACAAGACCTAAGGCCATAACTGAACAACTGGAATTTACAGCAATGAAAAAGAAAGTGACATTAGTGACTTCTTATTCAGGTTCACGTATCATTTTCCCCATGTGGGTTCCAGGACCCCATTGTGGGGAAGTCAACAATAGACCCACTGCCTCCCCAACAAGCATGTTGTAGGAGTCAACAAATTGGCGATTTCTTTGAAGTCGGAGTACATCTGCCCAAGTGGCAAGGATGGAAGGTAGGTAATTGTACCCCACCAGGACATCACACAAACGATAAACACAGTACCACCATGCGGATGAGGATCACCCATGGAGAGGTCCCAGAAACCCTTTTCAGCCGTTAGGCCTTATCTATAACTAGGCCATATTTATTCCCTGGCTATATTCAGGGCCCCTGGAAGAAGCCAGGGTGGGACTTTAAATAACAAAAAATTGCATCCCACATGGGAATGACTTAATATGGCAAGGAACAACCAGCTGCACACAAATAAGTCAGTAAAATGTTCAACAGATTATCATCATCTCATATCAAACCCTTCAGTCTATTAGTGCTCAGATCATCCCCTCTTCATTATCTCCCTCAGTGTGTAGTGGCTTATGACACACAGTTCTTTGGGTCCCTGTGTAGCGTTCTTGTCTGGCCTCACCCCTTTTGATGTTATGTTCGTGTATCAGTAAAACGGAATTACACGCAAAATTAAGGCCCAAGCACAAAAGCCAAAGTCCAGATGGACGAACAACCAGAACTTTCCACCTGAGCTTTCAGCCAGTGAACAAAGAAGAAGACATATTATTTATTTGGTGCTGGAGAGGGGGGGGGGGGGGGGGAGTTTGATTAGTTATTAATAAATATACAGAATATAACTATTGTCTTATTTTAATCCATGATTGACTTTTGTATTAGGACATATTTTTTGTGAGAAGGTATTAGAAGTATCCGTTAATTTTTTTATTTAAATTATGCATCTTCAGCAACTTGTGTCATATGATGGCTACAGCTGTCAGAGAAAACAGAAGAGATATGATTGAAGTGAAGTCAGTGGGGCCTTGTGATCCAGGTAATTATAACACTGTTGGCATCATAATCAACATGTACTTCTTTCTTATGCTGCTAGGTGTCGCAGTTCATCAGACGATCGGTAGCAGAGCCAGGATGCGCTTGGTCACGTGATATGCCGTGATGTTATGCAGTCTCACAGTGTCAATGACTCCTTCAGTCTATCTTCTTCACAGTCTTCCCCTGCTTCTTCTTGGTGTTTCAGTTTTCAGGTTGTTCGCTCTTGCTGCTGGCATCGTTGGTTTTCATTAAATGGCCAAACCATTTCATTCTTTGTTTCTCAATAAATTTGACGATGGGTGTTGTACTAACAGTTTTTGTGATCACATCATTTCTCTTCTGTTTTTATTCACAGCCATTCTAAAAAAATCTCACCTCATGGGTGGTAAAGTTTTCTTTCGTCAATATCCAAGTCACATTGGTAACCTAAAGTCAGTATAAATATTGTATTTATAATTTGTCAGTTGTCTTCTTGTCTTTGTTGGAATAGCAGGGTGTTTAAAAATTGAAACAAGTTGGCACGTGACATTGTTGGATTCTCATTTCTATCTCTCTGTCTATTTTACCTTTATATGTAAAGATGCTTCCCAAACCCAGGTCGACCTATCCTTAAATATATACCTTGTAAATTCCTGGGAAGTAAAGGCGGCTTGGGTGATGTTGATAAACCTACAGAATGGTCTAAAAATATATGTCATGCCCGATGCCAAATATGCCTGAATGTATGAAAAAAGGTCCTTTACTTTACTTTAAGTGACTTTGGGATAAAAACTTACACAAAAGCTATCCTAGGCTTGCCTATTTGCTCGGTGACCATAGATTTCAAACCCAGGGATTTTTATTTAAATGACCAGAATTCCAAATTTCTTAAACAAAATTTTGAAAAAGTTTTTTTGTACAGATGTTTTTGGGGTAAAATAACATATTTCATTAAAAATGACAAGATGGGGAGAAGCAAGATAGCTGATATCATTTGGTAAGGTGCTTGGTTATGATACAATTGGCTGAGGTTTAATTACGACATTGTTGAATGAATTAAGGAAGAAAGGAATGAGTCCAGAATTTATATCACTGCGCTCAGGGCATTCTATAAATCCTCCGTTTCCCCTCTTCAGTAGCCAATGAAGAACTCCATAACTGATGGTACCCGTTGAAACTTGATTCAAAGTTAATATGTATTTTCCTGTGGGTTTGGGTAGGACACAGTTTTTTGTGTGTGTGGGTTATGTTAAAGCTCAACCCAGGTTGTCTTCGGGGGGTCCCAATATAACCTAAGAACTCTGTTATCCTTTTAGTGCCCCATTGTTAGGAAAACAATAAAAGACCTACTGCCTCCCTAACAAGCATGTCATAATAGTCGACTAACTGGGATCCTCCTTTGAAGTTCGGGTACATCTGTCTGAGAGTCAAAGAACCAAGAGTCTGCATGCAAATAAACCAGATGTGTGAAACAAATGTGCACGCAACACTGAAGTTCTGAAACAAGACTTAAGTCATGAGTTGGACGAACACCCAGAACTTTCCATCAGAGTTAACAGCCAGTGAACAGGAAGAAGAAGATAACCTAAGGAGTTTCTGGGACTTGCATCTCTGGGATTCTACTCTGAATGGTGGCACTTTTGTCACCAGATGTTAGTGGCTCATTGTGCTATCCTGCTGGGTTAAACATCACTCACTCGCTCCTGCAGGTAAAATATTGTCATGATGCCCTGCTCTCTCCCATCTGAATTACGACATTCTTAAAAATGTAACATCAAATGCAACACATTTGTGTGCAGTACATTTCAGTTTTTTTTACAAACTAATTCAGGTGCACAAATTGTGTCTAAACCTGAGTATGTTCGCAACAGCACAAACAACAATGTTGTTTTGTCTTGTGAGGCTATTGGTTTCCCTACTCCATCTATTCACTGGATTGTTACAAAAGCAAACAACAAAACATTTGCTTTGCCAGGTAAGAATTTTGTCCTTTATATGTATAATTTATATCATATTTTATGTAGATTTCAAATTCTAGTATTTGAAAATTTTAAACAATATTATAGTTTGCTTGCAACATTAACAGTTTAATTGTGTATCTGTTCTCTGACATTGAATTCTGATTACTGATTTAAGAATCAACATCACAGCACACCGGGCATACCTATAGATGCTCCGTCTCCTGCAGCAAATGACATAAGCTGTAGATGCTAAATGTTCCCATAGCACACTGATTATACACACGCTGATCTCTTCCTCTCATCCATCCAATCCTTGCCGGATCCACACTTAATGTCTCATTCACACATTATCGCTGATGTTATTTCATCTAATCTCGTGTCTTCCGCCAACAGTCGTTCATTTATGGTCTTTAGAATATCTCCCTTGTCCAGTACGATTGTTGCCGTAGCTTTCGCTGTTGTAGCCAGAAAATCAGCTCTTTCATTTCCTCACACTCCTGTATATCCCAGACAGTAAATCCACATGATTCCCTGCCATACTGGGGTACTGATGCACTGTTGCCATTCATGCCACATTGTCCATTTTAAACCTTCCCCAGTTCCGACTGAGAATCAGACACAGTAATTCCTCTGGTAACTTTGTTTTTGCTATCCAATTCAGAGCTACAGTGATTGTCTCCACTTTCATTCTCATCCTTGAAGTTGTAGATTAAAAAGCTCCATTTTATTCTGCCACAATAATTTCCTTCATTCTAGCTGAAAATTCCCAGCCAGATCTTACACTTTAATTAACAGAACCATAGGTGTACACTACTGTATCATCTAGATCAGCCTTTTCATCTATAAGTTGTTGTACCTCTAATTCTGCCGTACCGTTACACCACTCTCTACATTCTCTTCCTAATGTGATAATGACGTGATGGAAACTGCTGTTGTATGTGTTCATGTCGACCCATTCCTACCCCCTGTGTATTTGCTTGACTGAGGCCGCCATCTTGATGGTATCTTCAGCTGGTACCATCCACGACTTTCCTCTTTTCAACCAGTCTTCTCTTAAATTGTTCAGACTACCATGCAGCAGATGCCTTTCATCATTGGTCACTTGCATACAGGCCTTGGCTTGCGTCAGTGACAGTCTGACTTGCTTGGAATGTCCCCTTTTCTGCTCAATTTGTTGGTAAGACATCTCATTTTCAGGTCAAAATGTCATGATCAGCCTACCCGTGGAAGATCTGTCATTGTGGTGTGGCCCCTTGAAATAAGGTTGTCTCATGTCCAGGACAGTCAAGCCTAAAAGTGGTACCAAAAAAATATCCTGCAATGTAAAACTGGCCAACATGATGTTGACCACATTACTCATCTACTGCCGATTGGTCTATGAAAATGTGAGTCTAACTTCATATGCCTGATGCACCACTGGTATGAAAAGAGTCTTTGACTGACATGATTACTTTTCTCTCTAAACAGGTGATGACAACCATATTGTTTCATCCACAAGAGGCGGTCCAGGAAAGTACCAGGTGACTGGGTGGCTGCAGATTGAACATCTGCTGAAGCGCCATGAAGGTGATTACACCTGTATAGCTGCTAATGAACACAAGGAAGACAGGGCCAAGGCGAGGATTAAAGTTGTTAACTGAAAGGTGAGGCTAAGTTGTGCTGACTTCTCTCCCATAAGTGCTTTAGATGATGGCAGAATAGCAGGAACATTTCAATGACACTTTTTCCAACAGTAACTGCATACTGGAAAAGTGGTTTTCAGCTCAAACTAACTGAAATACAAAGTTACCTACACTAAAAATCAACTACACTCACAACTAGTTGACCGGTCACAGAATGGCATGCCTCATGAACCAGTGGAAATTTCAGGACCAAAATCCTTTTTTTTTTAATCATATCAGACATTTCTGTTAAAATTGTAAAAAATTATTTGTCTGCATTAACAGGTTTTCCTTTCAAAATATATATAGATTTTTAGAAGGGTAATAAATAAGCATGAACAGAATAAAGCGCTAAACAGAATACATTCCTCAGGGCCTAAGCAAAATATGTATCAAGTGACTCTTCCTGTGACCACTATCACTGAGGCTTATGGGAAAAGTTGACATCATATTGGCTTTCTGAAAACCGTTGGGGTCATACAGAAACTCTCCTAACTAAATTCATATCCTGTTTAGCACTGTGCATGCATACTTAGAACCAAGTTAATTTAACTATGATTTTTTTTAACAGGTCACTGCAGACATGGCCTTATCTAGGCATTTATGGGACTGTGTCACAACAGGAAGTGACTAGATTTTTTTTCATAATATGAGGAGAAAAATTCAGACATATAGCAGCTAGAAAATAAATGGAAAGAGAGATAGAAGAAGTCAGCATGAGAAAAATCTTGACAATGTTTAATCATGACATGATGCGCTAGTTAACTCATGTCAGTAATGTGGAATAATACATTTTAAAACATTTATGGCAAATATTTCTGCTATTTGTTTACTTTCAGAACAAAACTATCTGCTATTCTCCTTGAACTTTATGTTCCTTTACCCAAAGAGTGGTGCTACTAAAGCAGAGTGCATCCAAGGAGTAATGGAAGTGTTCTTCAATATCGTAATTACTATGCAAACATTTCATAAGGTGCTAAACTCATAATGAAATATATATATAGATTTCCATTATCATGATTTAATATACATGTGTATTTCTTGTTCTTTAAAGTAACCCCAAGTAGCGCTTTTTTAAACTTGCAGTTGGTTGTGCTTTGTGTTGATGTGTAGATATATGGTGCTAAGATACAGGGCAATTATGAATATATTATCATCATCATCGTGCAGCAGGTTCTTTGCAGAATTTTATTGCCTTCGTGGATAACTGAAAAACTTCACGTTTCCTCCTCTCGCCTCAGGTATTCTCATGGCCAAGGTGTTTACAGTATCATGTGTCTCTACCTTTAGTTTTGTCAGCAACTGTCTTTTCTTCATTCCTCTTCTGTGTTCACCTTCTGTACTCTCTCTTTCTCACTCTGTCTCTCTCCCTCTCTCTCTCTCTCTCTCTCTCTCTGTCTCTCTCTCTCTCTCTCTCTCTCTCTCTCTCCTTCTCTCTCTATCACACACCCCTCCTGAAGTCTTCCAGTGGTTAACAAAGCAGATGGTAGTACAGCCACTGATAACAAGGTAAGATCCAGATAACAGTGAGAATATACATTTTCTATAAAATAAACTTAAAAATTAACTTAAATTTTTTTTAAGTGGTTGATTGGGGGAGTAAGGAAGAAAGAAACTTGGGAAAGATAGGCAGCTGCCTGAACATATTTAGGAATCACTGATTGTGAAATCCATGAAGTCATTAACATATTTTAAATCTGTCAAAGCACTATGGTAATTTAGTAGCACGAATGATTTCATCTTGTAAATTATATCACACCAAAAACTAGATTTAGAAATGCAGCTGTGAATATTTTAAATTATGTCCAAGAAGAAACTTGGGACAGTATACAGAGTTATCTTTAATAGCATGTTATAATTTTCATTTGTATATTTTAATTCATGGATTATTACCACCATTAGTGGCTATTGTTGAGTTTTACTCTGTGTACTTAGTTTCTGTTTTAAAAAAATATAATAGTACTATTAATTTTTTGCAAAGGCAGTTGTTACATTTAAAAAATTATATTTTTTAGAAATTGTTCTACCTAAATAAATATTTTAACCTTATCTATTTTTAGCAACAATTGCATTCACTTTTACCAAATTACCATTATTTTATTTCAAATACAAGCAAGTCATAAATACTTGCTACATTTATATATAGATTCATGATGGTGTTGACTGAACTACTCCAGCAGAAAATAAAACAGGACAGTTGAAAACAAATGGTGTAAATATTGTTTGCTTTATGATTTTGATTTCACCATAAATGTGTGTTACACATATAATTTTTTGCTCAAATATACATGTTTTTGCTAATGACACTTGTATCGGTGCACATACCGAGCCTCACCATTTGCAGGATAGTCAGTAGGCTAAATGAATTCACACCGATTAAAACACATCAAATCAACCAAACATTAAACCATTTACAAAAACTGAAACAAAAGGGATGACCTTACGCTAATAATATATACTAGTAAAAGTAGAAAGAGAATTTCAAATATTATTAAAACTGAAGAAACAAATGTATTCATTTGCAGAAAAAAAAATTGATTACATTTATGTCATCATCATCATCAGTTTCTACTTCTGCTGTTAAGCACCATGGGGCGGAACAGTTTGCGATCCATTGCTTGATGGACTTCAATAGCTACTTTCAAACCATGTCAATGTAGAAGATCTTTAATGTGATCAATCCATCTTCTCCTAGTGTAGCCTCTCGCTTTTACTTCAGATCTTTCTATGTGTTTCTCATAAAATTTCCTGCATGGTATTGCTCCTACAGTCTGTCTGATAATATCATTTCTAACTTTGTCTCGGAAAGTTAAATTGGCAGCTTTTCTCAAGCATCTCATTTCACATGTGTTAATTTTACATAGGTTAGCCTATTATAATGTCCATGTCTGTTACTGGTAGCACATTGTGGGTATTAATATGCTGTTTATAATTTATTTCTTGGCGCTCATACTTATGTTTATATGTCTTAATAACACTGTCAGTTGGCATATAAGTGCACTGGTTCACTCGCATCTTTACCTTTGTGTAGCTACTGCACAATGATTGTAAAGTATTCAAATGTCACATACAAAGTCCGACAATTAAGTAGTGAAACTGATTCTATTATGGCCAAGACAAAAGTGCCTTCTACAAAGCAAAGCATGGAGTCCAAAGAGGCAACCTTCATCTATGATCTAGCAACTTTTCATCGACGCCCTGGTAAACAGACAACCAAGCCACAATTTAGTTGACCTAGTCAGAGGTACATTGTTATGTAATCAGCATGGAGCAAACAGCTAACAGAGAATTATGCTTAAAACTCGGAAAAAGTGCCATTTAGGCAATTGAATTGATGCGACAAGTTTATGGTGATAATTGTTTATCTCACGCACAGATTTTTAGGGGGTATTCACAATTCAAAAGTAGTGTGGAAATGATTACTAATGTGACTGGACCTGGATGCTCAATTTCTGTCCGCAATGAGAAACTCATTGTAAAGTCAGAGAATGGATACAGGAAGATTGTTGTTTGACTGTGAGGATAATACCAGATGAATCTGGTGTTAATAGAGAAGTCATTCATAAACTTTTTGTGGAAGATTTGGGCAAGAAAGCAGTTTCTTGCCGGTTTGTACTACATTTGTTGTCTGATGACAAAAAACATCAGCGTATTGAGTACGCAAAAGACATCATCAAAACCTGTCATAGAAATAATGGTCAGATTTGTGTGGGGTTTAATATTTAATAATGAGTTCCCTTCTGTATCAGTCTTCTCTTACTCACAACAATATTGTGTAATCAGTGCTAATAAAATAATAAATGTGCATATTTTTAAGGAAAATGTGTATATTTTGCAAACTGTGAGTTTTGATCCACTACACATTCACAACCAATGCGGAGGGGGTGTGTGGTGCTTTGCCATTGATCTGTTATAATTTCTTTTCCTTGACTGATGACTTTCATGCATTTTCCAGGAACTTCTCGAAGAAGAAGAACATTAAATTCTTGCTGTTTACATAGTCCTGCAGGTCTGCCTCCAACTGTGAAAAACATAGATTTAATGTTTATATATATATTTTTTAAATAAAAATCAACAGCAGGTTCTTTAACTCTTTTGGTCCCATTAGGTACTAGCTAATGTCAAACAGAATTAAGAATGGCAGTACTAAACGCATGTGTATACTACTTCCAGAGGGTCCAAATATACAACAGTTGTAGGAGACAAATGTTTTCAGAGTTGTTCAAAGTCAGTCACTTTTATGCATTAAATAAAATTCTACAGTCCACATGGTGTGCCTGTCGAACAGGACCACCAACACTTGAGCACATTCTGCAGACCTGTTCCAGAGACCTTCTCAGCAGTCATCAATCAGAAATAACCCGAAAATTTAGGACTGCGACAAATCTGACGAGAAGCAGCTGGCGAACGGTTAGAATGCTGGGCTCTCATGCGGGAGACCCGGGTTCGAATCCTCGGTAAGGCTGGGGATTCTTTTCTGTTGAAGGCAAAATAAAATCCTCACCTGCACAGTCATGGCAACAGCACTAGCCATGCGGCCTTAAATCAAAGACCCCCCTGCCTACACTGCAAAAGTGGTATATAAGGCAGTTTTGGCAAATCTGACGACCATCATCATGCATCATAGAATATGTAGGATCTCCTCTATTTATGACTAAGTTCCGTTCCTACTAACAGGTCGTAAGTTGAACTTGTCATAAATAAAAATTTATATTTTTCAACATATTTATTCAAACTGGTTATAGAAACTGAACATTAGTTAGTTAGTCTTTCCTCTTGGGCCTAGGGCAAAGGTCATAGCTAGCTCTCCATGTCTGGCCGTTCGTTGCCACCTTTTTTACGTCTTAGATGTTTGTTAGGTCCATGGTTGAGCCTTCCCTGATGATGGTTCTAGGCAGGGTCTCTCTCTTGATCTTTCCATTTTGTCTCCCCTTCCGGCGTCTATATATGTGTTAGATGGGGGAGTCTGGTCTTATGTATTCTAAGTGCATGGCCAAATGTAGTTCCTGCGGCACTTTCTTATAAAATTGAATACATTTTCTTGCTTGTTCTCTGGTTTTATTTACGTATTGGATCTGAAATCTGTCCAGTGGAGATTAAATATTCTAAGACATCTGTTCTCAAAATTGTCTAATTTTGTATCCAGAGCTACCATGTCTTTCCGACTCTCGCTTCCATAAGTTAGCACTGGAATCACACAAGAGTTAAAGATCCTAGGTTTTGTGTGCTTACTGAATCTCTTCGACTTCCAGATGTTTGACAGTTTGTTAAAGGCACTAGATGTCAGTGCGATTCTAGATGATATTGAAGGCTTTGAATCCACGGTAGATGTCATCTTACTACCTAGGTATGTAAAGCTGTTACGTGCCTCCCTCTAGCTTTGCTTAAGACTGTTGATCGACGTCCCAAAAAATCGCCATCATAAAACATTCTTTGTTGTAGAATAAGATTTCTATATCTCAAAATTGTTAATAAAATACAATAATTCAGTCTATGCACCTATACTCGGACCCTGCTGAGCTCTAGACATAAGTTCCACAAACTTTTTGACGATTGTAGTTATCTTTTCGTAAGTGCGGATGGACAAAAATCGCATAGGTCATAAGTCAAGGAGAAGGTGTATGTGAGGGAAGAAAAAAAAAGGGGGGGGGGGGCGTGTGCTTATTATAGTCTATATTAAATCAGAAGACACTGTATAAATCACTTACGTAATCCTGGTTGGAAGAGGCACCCATCCCTGAAGGCAGGGTTGCTACTGGATCCACTACTGCAGACCTTCTCTGTGAGGTACCGGGGATAGTAAGTATTGTCCAGGACTGTTGTGTGCAAGCAGCTGGAGCACAGACTGATGAAATTAGTCTGATTGATGATGTTTCCTTGTCGCTGGCATCTGTCTGAGCCTATCACATAACCTTATATGCTTGAGAACCAACAAACTCACACTTAACTGCAAAGGATATTATGTAACTATTCACATATTCAACTTCATACTAACTAAACTTGGTATCAAACTCATATTCAAACTAAGATAATAAGTTCCTCTTCTTCATTTTAATTTTTGTCTTCTCCTCATCCCCCAGTTGCTTTAACGATATGTTGGGAGAGATTTAAGGATTGTCTGTGTGTGCTATAGAATTTTTTTTAACAGTTGGCCAACATTTAATGTTGTTCTTGATACTGTCGTTCCATATCTTGCATCGTCTTCTTCTTGCTCCAAGTGTATTATATTTTTTCTGCCTGGCCAAAGGATCTCACCTGTTGCTCTTTAATGAGCTATATGACTAGTTTCAGTCCTAGTCTTCTTATCATTTTTTTCATTTTAAATTTTATATCATCTAATTTTTAATTACTCCAACATCTCTCTTAAGACACGTCACCCCTGTGGTGCTTAAAAAAACAATAAAGTGTAAAATCTCTAACTTATTCCTGTGCGGAATACAAGAGATAAAATGACATGACACTAGGGTAAAGAACTAAATACATTCTAGGGAAGCAAGAGAGGTTGAAAATGCACCAGTGCTGGATAAGACTCATTGAGAAAGCTTGATAATAGTTTAATGTTATATAAGGAAACAACATCATACCACTCGGGCACTCCCATAAGCGCTCCATCCCCAACTTCAGCAGCAAATGGCATCTGTAACTGTCTGATTGAATATCCGTCTCGCTCTTCCCCTGAGTGTTGAGCATCAGCCAGATCCCCTGGTAACTCCTCGCAGCGACATTCTCCTCAGACCGTAATGATCTATATGTGCCTCCGCACTGTTCACTCGCTCTCAAAAGGCCATCACATTGTCTAGCTTGTCATAGATCAGTTCACCCCCAAGTGGTGCAATGTCGCCCAATCTATCTGCCTGCTCATTTCCCAACACACCTAGATGACCTGGAGAAAATATCCAAAGGACTTTTAACTACCAGGGACTTCTGAATTGATGCTTGCCACTCTGTACGGAGCATGCTTTTCTCCACCCTTCTCAACATGCTTTGTGAGTCAGTTACAATTACGGCATGTGTGTACAGCTGATTCTCAAGCCAGCGGAAGGCAGCAGTGACTTCCTCTACCTCCGTTCTCAAACAAGACATAATAGTATTTCTCTAATGTCCGGACACTAGGATTAGCAGACTACGTTAAAAAGAGATATAAGTATATGCTTAGAATACCTTGGACAGCCAAAAAGAGCAACCAAGAGGTTTTGAAAGAGGCGGAAGCCCGAAGACAACTAATCACAGACATCAGGAGACAGTCATCACTTTTCGGCCATGTTATGAGAAGAGGTAAAATAGAACATGTTGTGACCACTAGAAAGATCTGTGGAAAGAGGGATAGGGGAAGACAACGAGAGAAGATACTTGACAGTCTTGTTGCATGGCATGGAGGTGTGACGGCACACGAACTGATACATGCTGCAGGAGATCGGGGATTATGGAGAGGCATGATCGCCCAGGCCAGTCGGCAAGGCACCTGATGATGATGATGATACGTAACAATGTACAGATAAGAGAATTAGAGACAATGGTGAAGAGTACATAGGAAGCATGGAGGGATTTTCATGAGATGACAACAGATAAAAAAGCTTGGCATGAGTTGGTTGAATGTGAAGGTCTGCAGTCCCAAATGGGATACATTTTGTATTTTAGGTGTCGGGGGAGGGAGGGATGATTGTCCCCGTGGGGAAGTGGTCAAGCCATTTGCTTTCTACTCTGGGTTCGTTTCACAGGCGGCTCGTTTGGTTCACAATTAAATGTTTATGGGGATTGTTGCTGGAGATGTGAAGTTCGTACTTTGTGCTATACTATTGTTATACAACCTGCCCTCCTGTGGAGAGAGACACAGCTGTAAGGGATAAAGCCAAGTGCAGTGCAGCGGATCCTCTCAACTTTAAATTTAGAGGACAAGGTTCTGAAGAAGAAGGCAGTTCTTTCTTACATGAATAGATAGGACACTGAATGTTCGTCTGTTGAGTGTTGAACTTCTTCTTTGTTCACGAACTGTAAGCTCCGGCGGAAAGTCCTGGTTGTTCGTCCACTTGGACTTTGGCTTTGTGCAAGGGCCTGAGTTTTGCGTGTACATGAGTTTTACTGGCTTATTTGTGTGTTGTTCCTTGTCACTCGGGCAGATTTACTCCGATTTCGAAGGAAGTCCCTTGTTAGTCGACTTCTACGACATGCTTGTTGGGCAGGCAGTGGGTTTATTGTTTTCCCCACCCTTTTTTTCCTTGGCCGTTCTCTTGATCTTGTAGCTGATGTGAGATTCAGTGCCTGTGATAATATCTGATTTTGCTACATTCTAACGAGATGACCCAACCACTTGATCTGCTGTTTCTCGGTGAATCTAGTACAAGGTGTCGTTCACATAATCTGCCTGATAGTATCATTAATCCCTAGATCTCTGATGGTTAGGTTGGCTGCTTTTATCGGGCATCTAATCTTGCAAGTGATGAATTTGCATACATGGTTTTTATATCGTGTCCATGCTTAGCACTGGTAGCTCAATGTTGCAATGAATATACTGTTTATAATTTGTTTGGATGCTTGTATTTGACCTGACATAGACTATAAAAATAATAACACACACACACACAATCACACACACACAATCACACACACACAGGTAGAGACAGGGGGAAAAGAGAGAGAGAGAGAGAGAGAGAGAGAGAGAGAGAGAGAGAGAGAGTTGTTGTTGTAGATCAAGTTTTACCAGAAATATCTCTCTTTGTTCTGCTGCGTAGACTGTGCCAAGCAGTCATATTCTCCAGAACCTCATCTTGGTCAAACTCTGCTACCCTTCCTTCGTGCAGTAGTCGACTAAGTTCTGTCAGCGACGAAATCAACGTGACTGCTACCTCTAGAATCACCTCAAAATATTCAACTGCTTCTAAAGTAGCATTTGTCCCATTCATGTCTGACTTTACCAATTCTAACAGCAATGAATGATTAAACAGAGAGTGATCTTGGCCTAATTCGTGTGCTTTGATGTCCGATAAAATAAACGAATGTGTCGTTGTTTCAGACGAGGCATTGTTTGTTGTAAGGTCAGGACTCACTGTTTTATCAATGAGTATTTCTGTAATAGACTCTGGTTTTGGCGTGTGGGATACTAGTGCACCAAGCTTTTCTATACCGTCATCTCCTCCTAAAACAACCTTGATATCAAATATAGATCTTGAAAGTTTGTCTGAAATTTCAATAAAATCTGACTCCAACAGGACTGTTACAAATTTATGCATGAGTTTGATCACAACGGCTTTGAAATCGTTTAATGCTAGAAGTAAATGTGTATACAGTTCTGTGAGTGCTTTCGAGTCTGCTTTCGTTCCGCTAAGTCTTTGTAGTAAATCGTCTATAACAGCGTCTAGGTTTGTGTCATTGCTCAGACTACCATTTGATGTAATTCCAGTAGAATTTGTCTCAATATGAGCAGACGTGCTTGAGTATTCTTCAGATGCTATCAATTTCTGAACTTCAGAATTCAAATAATTCAGAGTTTCACTTCTAGACTGCAACTCATCACACGAAAGTTCACTGCTGGTAGTATTTGCCCCAGTACCGTTTTGACACATATTGAAGACAGAGGTCGAATTCAGAGCATCAAACAGTAGATTAGTCAGTGAAGTGATGTTTCTAAGGTTGTTGCTAGATGTATATTCTAGTAAGTGGTCGAGTAACTGAGTTCTATTCTCCTGAAATTGACGAAGTAGTGTCTGAAGACGGATGCTGAGGTCTGACTGGTTGTAATGCATCTGTGTAAACAATAAAATGGTGTTAACTTATCAAAGTTTAACTTTTAATAATGCAGTAAAAACTGTGTATAAAATATACACGTGACAGCATCAACGAGTTTTTAATCAATTAGATTGTTTAATCGTGTTAATTAATTTGGCCAAATCAGTGGGGCGGATTTATTATTAGTGAGGGTCTTAGTTATATAAAACCATGAGGCCTGTTTCGAATTACACTATCTCCCTGTATGGATTCAGGGGCCTAATTGTGGGGAAAACAAGAATAGACCCAGTGCCAACAAGCATGTCGTAAGAGTGACTAATTGAGTGCTTCCTGCGAAGTCGGAGTGCATCTACCCGAGCGGCAATGAACAACCAACTGCACACAAATAAGACAGTAAACCAGATGTAAACGCAGATCAGGCCCTGGCACAAAGCCAAAGTCCAAATGAGCAAACAACCAGGACTTTCCGTCGGAGCTTACAACCGGTGAACAGAGAAGAAGAAGAAGAAGATATTACACTAGCTAATCTAAGAAAACTTTAAAATATATGTGCCTTTTAAATATATGTATGATTGAAATATATTGTCGTTTAGTTTTTAGTAAAGTAAATAATAACGAATATATCAGCAAAATCGATGAAAATATTAGTAACAGTAGTAAGTAAAGTTTACCCCACTAGGACATCACACAAGCGATAAACACCCAATGACACAAAGTGCCACCATGTGGATGAGGATCACCTGTGAAGAGGTCCCGGAAACCGCGTTTAGCCATTAGACAAAAGTTATAGACGTGCTATATTGCGGCCCCTGGCAAAAGCCAGGGTGGGGCTTCAAAATAACGAAAAATTACATCCCACAAGGGGACGAATCTGATGAAAATATAATCCTTTTTAAGGCTCTATTAAAGGAAAATTGCATTCGTGAACATAAAATATGAATTTATTGAGGTTCCTTCAGTTTGTGGGGCAGCTTTGTTATCTTATAGGCAGAAGTCGACCCCTTGTGGGACGCAATATTCTGAAGCCCCATCCTGGCTGTTGCCGAGGGCCCTAATATAACCTAATGGTTGAACGGGACCTCTTCACGGGTGATCCTCATCCGAATGGTGACATTTTGTGTCACCGGGTGTTTATCGCTCTGTATGATGTCCTGGTGGGGTAAAACATATTTACTTACTTGTTATCTTACGCCTAAATCCAACACTGCAAAAGTATTTCAGTTTCCGAGATATTAAGCATTTTATGGGTAGGTTTTATGTATCCAGATTCTCTTCCTAAGACTCGCTTCATCGCCTTTCTAGAGAGGGACAGTGTATTATATTCAGACTAAGGATTGGGCACAACATACTTCGTCAACATATGTTAACATTTTTCGGTGTAGGAAACACGGATATGTGTCCCTGCAGAGTGGCACCCGAAAATGCTGAGCATGTGCTATGTGCTCCAACACTGCCAACTGTATGCTGACAATCTGGTCTGTTCTAACCACAATGAAGACAAAACTGTATGGTACACGAGAAGATATGGACTGCACAATAGTTTTCATAAAGGCTACCGGCCTCCTGATATAAAGTTTTTTGACAGAAGGATCGAAGAAGACGAAGAAAGGTAGGTTTTGATATATGTTTAAGTTTTCCATTTCTGAGATATAATGCTATCTAAGAGCCAGTTTTGATACGGTTATAATTTCCAGTTTTGAAGACATGTAACTGTAAGAACCGGATCTCAAAGACGTCAGTTAACGTCTGCAGGAATATCCAGAAGAGATACAAATCAGAAATTATGTCATAAAGATAACAAGTCGGCACAGGGCCTTTTCCAAATTACATAGAAAGACAGAAAATCAAATGATGTGTCCAATTAAGACGCTACCATTTAACAGCGCTGAGGAAAATATACCTCTGGTATTTAGGGGTGAAGGGTGAGCACTCCCTAATCTACTCGGGTTAGTGTGCAGTTAGGCAGACCTGGTGACTGGTCACGCGTGTGAGTCATGGCCTCATTGGTTTTCCCATAGTAAGCACGCACCAGAAAGGACACAAACTGAGAAATCCTGTTAGTGCTGCAAAAATATTGTCCTGTCTCTAGAACACGCCGGCAATATGAATTGAGAAAGACCTACAACAACAACAGCAGCAACATAACACAGTTGGAGATAATATCAAATTTAAGAACACTGTATCGTGACCTGATTGCATGTTTATGTCCACCGGGAGTTAGAAGACGGTATTTTATATTTTGCGTCACAATATCAGACATCAATTTGTTGTTCTTTTAAAACCCCACCCTGGCTGTTGTCGGGGGCCCTCCTAATATAACCCAACCAATGGGTCGAACGGGGTTTATGGGACCTATCCCTGGGCGATCATCACATGAATGGCAGCATTTTGTATCACCGGTTGTTTATCTTTCGGTGTAATATCCTAGTGGGGTTAAACGTCAATCAGACGTAATTTAGTTTATCACTCGCCGCCCGGGACTTCAGCTTACCACTTAACCTTCAGGGATCCCAGAGCTGTCTTTTTCGTTGAACGGGATTTTCGGGATTCGTTTGTGTTTGATTATCATCCGTTAGATGTTCATTCTACAGACTTGCAATCCCGAAGGAAAGAATTTAACGAGAGAAAAAGTCTTAAAAAGCAAGCATTCCACTTAAACAGTGTCCAAAACGTACCCAGTCTGCTGATCCTTCGTCAGACAAGTTGTAACCATGGAGATGGGGAGGCGAAACAGACGACACGCCAGGAACTAGGACTTCTCCGCCATGGAATTTTAGAACTAAATTCAGGAGTTGAGATGTAACTTGAGTCTTCTGTGAATTTTCTGCGGGACAAGGAACGTCTGGAATCACCAATGACGTCTTGTCATTGTAGCACAAGAAGTCAGCTGAAAAACATTCAATATTCAATATTACCAATGAAAATTAGTGTTGGAGTAATGATTTGCAAATGTTTATATTATGTAGAAATTTGTAATATACACAGTGTTAAGCGCAGTGTTGCCACTTTGGATGTTTTACATCCAGATTTAGATGTTTTCCCTTGCATTTAGATGTAATTTTTGCTTGAATAAATGTTTTGTATAAATATTTAATAGAAATGACCATTATAGATTCATGTCTCACACTTCCTCTTTCAGTCTATAAGATGGTTTATAAATTATGCTTCTCTAGTTTTAAGGAATGATAGCATAAGTAAACATATCAGCTGTAGTAAACAAAACTACCTGATGAAATGATTTCATCAATCTGATCGACGCTTGCAGGTTGACTGACCGTTTGTGAGGTACTTACAGCAGGCGGGTCTGAGGAAAACAATACATGCGTCAACCTTATTTATGTTCCGTAGCTTATCTTAAAAAATATATATATATAAACATGTTCAGCCAGCATTTCAGAAGGGGGAACTTAAGGTTATAATTGTGACTAGGTTATTAGGCCATATAAAATGGCTTAGTATAGTTCGCCGCCAAGTAGCCCTGAAAATGACACTTGCAGTGTTGATGCGATCAAAGGATCAAACATATAGTGTCCCAACCAGTGACAAAGTCGCCTATCGGCCAGCCAATGAGCGACCGGGTCGCCGATGTGATTTATAAATCTGAAAACCACAACGTGGTCGAGATTGCTTCGTCATCCCCCTTAGAGGAATACAAATTTACGCCCAGTAGATTGCTATTGCTTTTTTTTTTTTTTTTTGGACGGTCAGATTCTCAATACCATTGTCTAAACCAACGCAAGGCCCGCAGCTGGGATCGAACCCGGCACCTCGGCATTGCGAAGCGCGTTCGCAACGCCTAAGTCACAGACGCCGTCCATGGACATGTACAAGTGCCATTTTAATGGCAGGTGACCCTCGTATTCGCTCCGGGACCTATTGACTATTCGGTATTCGGCCGAATAGTTGCGGTCGGGCCGAATACGAATAGTAGTTACCTTACACCTGCTTTTGCATACACGGCCCTTATACTGACAACATGGAACGATTGGTTTTATTGAAAGCTAATGTAGCTTTCATGCATTAACTAAGCTGTCAGTGACAATTTCCAAGTTTGGTTACTACTTAATGCTTATGATTCTTTCATTCCTAGTTATTAGTTACCACAGACTGACTGGAGGATCATCATCTTCTCGTTATGCCTAGTGGCACATGAGGCTTTAGAGAGGACTTTCCATGCTTTCCTGTCCTGTACAATCTTCAATGCAGTCTTCCATGTCAAAGATGCCACACTCAGGTCACTTTCCATCGTTCGTCTCCATGTTGTTTTTGGGTGCCCCTGTTTTCTCTTTCCCTCTGGTATCCATGTGCATTTGTTTCGTTATACGGAGCCGGCATATTTTTAATAGAACTGAGCCCCGTAAGGATATTTTATGGCCGCCATAATATCCCGTTGAAGTTCGGAGGCGAGCCCATAAGTGCAGGCAAGCACAAAATCGGTGTACTTTGCTTGTGCTTCCTGCATTTAGATATAGCCCTACTTGTGTGAATTCTAACGTACCGCGATCGAAACCCACTGCTGGCTGCGTGGATGGCTATCCTCAAAATAACGGGCACATATTATGGCGGCCAAAAACACACCCTAACAGAGCCTTAGTCACGTGTAAATTGCGCACTTCCGGTTACTTGAAATCCGGACTTCCAGCGACTACCGTCACCGCCGAGAGGGGCTAAACTAGATGGCTGGGACTCTTCTGCGTGGCGGCGTGGGAGATACTTTCGGCGGTGGCAGTAGAAGTTCGCAATTTACATGTGGCTGAGGCCCTGTTAGGGTGTGTTTTTGGCCGCCATAATATGTGTGTCTAACTGGCCGGCTAGGTCGTGTCCTCTCATTGTGCAGGTTTGGATCTGTCATCTCCTTCTGTGTCTTTGAGGCTTCAGCCCCACTGAACTGGGGCGAGAAGTCCTCACTGTAAGAAGACTGGTAAGCAAACATCGAACTGGGGCGAGTCGTGCTCACTACACGAAGACTGGTGAACCGGCAATGATTAGGGCGAGCAGTGCTCACTAAAGAAGGCTGGTGAACAAACATCGAACTGGAGCGAGCAGTACTCACTACAAGAAGACTGGTAAACCTAAATCTAACTGGCGCTTGCATTGTTTACTACAAGATGGCTGGTAAACCAGCAATGAACTGGGGCCAGCAGTGCTCACTACAAGAAGACTGGTGAACCGGCAATGAACTGGGGCGAGCCCTGCTTACTACAAGAAGACTGGTGAACGAACATCGAACTGGAGCGAGCAGTGCTCACTACAAGAAGACTGGTGAACGAACACCGAACTGGGGCGAGCAGTGTTCACTAAAAAAAGGTAAACGAACATCGAACTGGGGCGAGCAGTGTTCACTAAAAAATGGTAAACGAACATCGAACTGGGGCGAGCAGTGCTCACTGCAAGAAGACTGGTCAACCAACAAAGAACTTGGGCGAGTAGTGCTTATTATAATAAGAAGTGTGAACGAAATCGAACTTGGGCGAGCAGTGCTCACTACAGGAAGACCAGCAATGAACTGGTGCAAGCAGTGCTCAATACAAGGGGGCTGGTGAACGAACATCGAACTGGAGCAAGCAGTGCTTACTACAAGAAGACTGGCGAAACGGCAATCAACTTGGGCAAGCAATGCTCACAACATGAAGACTGGTGAACCAACATCGAACTGTTATGAGCAATGCTCACTACAATAAAATTGGTGAACCAGCAATGAACTGCTGCGAGCAGTGCTCACCACAAGAAGACTGGTGAACCTACATCGAACTGGAGCGAGCAGTGCTCACTAAAAGAATACTGGTGAACTACATCGAACTTAGGCGAGCAGTGCTCACTACAAAAAAAGCTAGTGAACGAACATTGAACTGGGGCGAGCCGTGCTTATCACAAGAAGACTAGTGAACGAACATCGAACTGGATCAAGCAGGGCTCACTACAAGAAGGCAACCTTACAGAAATAAACACCAGCTTGTACAATGCATTGGGAAAAACGAATCAACGATCCTTACATCTTACCCCCTCCCCACCCTACCCCAACACCTAGCTGAGGTAAATGGTCGAAGATAGAAGAAGAAGAAGAAGAAGAAGAAGAAGAAGAAGAAGAAGAAGAAGAAGAAGAAGAAGAAGAAGGAGAAGGAGAAGAAGAAGAGGAAGAAGAAGAAGAAGAAGAAGAAGAAAATCGTTGCTACGGAAAGTATCTTTTTTATTATAAATGTTGTCCTTGTGAAGACTGAACAGCCTTAAATAAAAGTCTATGGTAAAGCACCAGCAAGGAGATAAAAATTAGAATTTGGAGAGCATGCATCTTCCCTGTGGCTACATACGGATGTGAGTCGTGGACTCATTTTGGGAAACACTGGTTTCAAAGTTACCCTATATATTCTAACTACTCTTCTACGATCCCTATATACACGTTACACACTCCAGTTGAGTGTTTGTTTACTCCATATCAAGCTATTACTTCCCTTAAAACTTGCCTATCGACTCTGTCGAATGCTTTTTTCCTGGACTAGGAATGCCACACACACACAAAAGTTCCTATGGATTTGTTGTTCTTTTCAAATAATTGTTTGAGTATATGTACAGCCAACTGTAGTTTCATCAGTGGCCTCAGATTTGTTTATATTATCTTGTGCATATTGCCAGTCAATGAGAACAGTTTGTTGTAACCATGTTGATATGGTGAATTAATCAAGTAACAGAAAGTATTGTGAACGGCACTCATAGAAAGAAGTAGAAAGATATGAAACAGGCGCTGAACGACTGTTATATAAATTGAATTAGGCTTATTTAAGTGAGCTAAAAACCTGGCCAACTGGGGGGTCAGGAAGTGATAAAACAGACGGGAGTGACCATTTTCGCTCTCTTATGCCACTGGTTTTAGGACGAGAAACATGTAGTTCTGATTTGTCCGTTGCGTTCAATGGTTTTACGCAACGTGGGTTGAGGTGTGTAGGCAGAAAGATAGGTTCCATCTGTTGTAGGGTATTTTCTAACACGTTGTGAATTGTAATGCATTACTATTTGTGAAGACCTTAGATGATGTTCAGTGAAATAAATAGATGTGAATGTGATAATTGTAGTTCTAGTTGCTTTGCTTCAGATTAGGGCGTGCGGTTAGTAGTGTGTGTTATTTATTTGTTACCTGGCTTATTAGACTTTACACAGAAGATCTCATATCTGGACTAGAATATTCTTGTTTCTAGTCCCCACCTAACGAACTATTTTCCTTTATTTTTTATCTTAGTACTAAGGGCTTCTCCGCCCTAGTAGAGATAGAAAGACACACTAGACAACATAAAAATCGAAAGCTATAGTTACCGTGAGCCACTAGTGTGTAAAGGGGAGCCACTAGGTTGTAGCGGGGAGCCATTACGTTGTAGCGGGGAGCCACTAGGGTGTAGCGGGGAGCCATAAGGGTGTAACGGGGTATAACGGGGTGCCACTAGTTTGTAGCAGGGAGCCACTAGGGTGTAGCGGCTAGACGGGTCCTGATGGCAGATTTTTTTTTCTTCCAAAAATTAACCCTGGCTCCCATTTCGACCCAACCTTGAGCTATTTAGATTTCCTACCTAAACATCTACACACAAGGTAGCTGAACAGGTATAGTCCTGGAAACTAGGGTTGTACCACAAATAGTGATTTTCACTATTCGGCCGAATACGAATAGCGGGACCAACTATTCGGCCGAATACAAATAGTGTATAGTGTATAAAATATATATTTTAAAAAAAACACACATTCATAATATCAAATGTACGCTGAACTTTTACTTTGCATAAAGTAGCACAGAATAGTCATCTTCTTCTTTAGCATTCTGAGCCCTTGAGGTTTACTGCTGCAGATATCACTTGTCTCCATTCATCTCTCTGGCTGGCCTTATCTTCACAATTTGTGACACCAGTTGTTTGCAGGTCTGGCTGGACATTATCTCTTGAACTTATTTTTTGTCTGCCTCGTGGTCTACGCCCATTCCTCTCTCAGGTGTATACAGTTTTTATTTCTCTGTCATCTGACATTCTTTCAATATGTCCCAACCATTTTAGTGTGTTAGCTCTCATGATGCCAGTGATCAATGGTGATTTAAACAGATTATGTGTTACGTTGTTGCTTCTGACTCTCCATTCCCCTCTGTTAGCATCTTTGATGGGTCCAAAGATTTGTCGTGGAACTGTTTTCGAAAACCTGTAATGAGGCCACATTTCTTTTATTTCTGCTTCAAGTTTCAGAGCCAAATAAAACGACTGGTCTTTTCAACGTTTTATATATTTTCATCTTGGTGTTGCACTTTGACTTTAACAGATGTTAAAGGGCATAGTACACTTTATTTCTAGATTGTATATCTTCTCTCAGCATGTTGGAACAGTTGAGTTTGCACCCAAGTACTTATATGTTTCCGTTCGTTTGATTTTCACATTATCGAATTGTCTGTGGCCGGAGTTTATATTCTTTCCATGTCTAGTTAGTATTCGCACAGAATAGTAAACATTTAAAAACATTTTATGTTCTGCATCTTTCAGTCAGTCTGTGGTAGCTAATAACTAGGATTGAAAGAATCCTAAGTATTATAACAAGTAACTAAACTTGGAAATTGTCACTGACAGCTTAGTTAATGCAGGAAAGCTGCATTAACTCTCAACAAAACCAATCGTTCCATGTTGTCATCATTAAGATGTGTATGAAGTAACGGGTGTACGGTAACTACCATTCGTATTCAGCCCGACCACAACTAATCGGCCGAATAGTCAATAGGTCCACTATCCGGCCCCGAAGCGAATACGAAGCGAATATTCGGTATAGCACTAGAACCTAGCATACGATACCACAACATCCAGCTTAAGCTGCCACTGCAGCTAGAAAACACGATACACACACACACATCGTGATTGTAACTGACTTAGAAGGCATGCTGAGGAAAATCATGACAGGCATGCTTCGTGCAGAGTGGCATGCTTCGATGCGGAGGACACAGGTGAGGAGTATTATCTAGATAGGTGTGTTTGAAAACAAACAGGCGGACAGACTGGCTGGCTCTGCACATCTTGGTGGAATACTGATTCATGATAAAACAGACGTGGTTAGTGCCTTGTTGGAGAGTGTGTACCTTTCGGAAAAGCAGATGGATCACCACAGTCTGGTGAGATTGATGCCGGGGAGAGTGACGAGAGGTTCTGGCAGATGCTCGAGGCTCAGATGAAAGGCACGACGTAGTTTAATCTGAATGCTACTGGCACCACTAGTATCGGAACTCTTCGCTGGCTGCTGAAGATGGGAAAGGCGCGCTTATGGGAATGCCCTGAGTGCTGCGATGTCAGTTTTTGAATCAAATCAAATAACCTGGCATAGTACGTAAACACATCATTTATGTCCTATTTCCTTCTGCCTCCTGAAGATAGTGCCCATGTTTGACATTGACAGCACAGCGTTGGTTAGTATATAGCTCTTTATACCAAATACCCCAGAAGGCGTGGGAAGTGTCCTTTAGTTTCTGGGACGCAATGGTGCTGAACCAAACGCTGTCGTAGTCCAAGACCAAGACTCATACTGGTGAAGCTCTGTCTGCATTTCTCAGAAAGAAAGAGCTATAGTTGCCTCTTTCGACATGCATGTTAAATTGAAGTCTTACTTTTCTTTGTTTATAATCAAAACGTGGTTACAGTTCTAAAACAAATGTATAGCTTACGTGATATCATGTGAACAGGACCGACCACCCCAGATATTGCATGGCCATCCAGATGCGGTTTGTCTGCAATACCAGAACCTGTTCTATTAAATACAAAGTGAGGAAACATACAATATACTACCCAGTTTACTGGCTGGTATAGTCTGCTTGCTGTTCAACAAGTTATAAACACACATGCAAGCCATTCTCTCGAAAACTGCGATGATTTTTACTCCCCTTATTTACAATGGTTCGAAAAGATCAAAAGAATTGGCTGGTATTCAGCATCCTGAGCATCTATGTCCAACATCACTATTATTGCGTCATCGATATTCTAAGGCGGCATGCCAAAAATCATAGCGATCTAACAGGCAGTTTTCGATAAAGTGGTTTACACGTGTGTTTATGAGTTGTTGAACGAACTATAGTTCGGTGCCACAGAAATAAAATCAGCATACGATAATATGCATACAACCTTGTAACACAAAATATTATGTCCATTATTCGACCAGATATCACCACGAAAGATTAACTAGGCGCTTTTATTTACATAGGAATCCGCCGTGGAGAAGCGGCTAGTCGCTCGCCTTCGGAACGGTAGGTCTTGGGTTCGAATCCAAAGTGGGCTCGATTTTTTTTTCAATAATGACCTTGGCTTCCAGGCCGACACAGCATTAAATGGGTACTAGGTATAGAACTAGGAAGTATAGGCGGCTGTCGTGTTGTAAAAAAAAATCATACCAGTCGCCTTTACTTCCTGAAAATTTCCTGCTACTCATTTCAAGCTCAATCGTCTGTAAGCTCTTAGTCAGCTCTTTAATCAACCTAGGTGCAGATTCAAACTCAAAGCCTCAAACCTTGTGGGCCAGGAGGCAAAATTTCTAGTCACTCCACTTTCCCGGTTCCGAATTAAGCATTAACAACAGGGGTGAGCTATGACCTACTTTAGATCGAAAGTAGGTCATCAGTGAGCAATGCATCGACCGCGGTCTCTTAAGTCGATCGGAAAGCATTGAGAGGTAACCCTGTGGTTTGTGTCGCAGTCTCTGTTTCGAAAACTGTTAATGTTAGCCTATCTCTGTATCATCCCCATAATCAATTTCCACTTCTACCGTGTAGCCCGTGGGGAGGAACAGTTTGCGATCCATGGGCAGTAATGGCTATTGTCATTCAGTGTTCATGTCAGAACTCTAATATTATCAATCCATGTTCTCCTAAGGCGACCTTTTGCTTTCACATCATTTTTTTTTTTTTTTCATGTGTACCTACTGCGTCGGTAGTTTTTCTAGATGTATTCTTACTAGATGACCAAACAATTTGATCTTCAGTTTCTCCGTAAATTTGCTACATGGCGTATTCTCAATGTCTGCATTTTTAACTGTCTTGGATGGTTAAGTTGGCCGCTATTCTCAAGTCTTGTAGACTATAAAACCGACCTCCGATGATTTCGAAAATGACAAGTAGCCATCAAACCTCAAAGGACTAGCCAGTATTGAATTACAACATATTTATCAAGAGAGGTTTATCATTTTATCAAGTGCCTTGCCGACTGGGGTGGGCGATCTTGGCTGTCCACAGTCTGCGATCCTCAGCAGCATATATCAGTTCGTGTGTTGACACTACTTCATGCTACCAAAAGACTGTCAAGAATCGTCTCGCGTTGTCTTTCACTGCCTTTGTTTTCTACAGACCTTTCCAGTGATGACAAAATGTTCCAGTTTCTTTCTTCTTACAACATTACCAAAACATGATGACTGTCTCGTTCTGATGTTTGCCATAAGCTGTCTGCGAGCCGTCACCTCTTTAAACCCATCTGGGAAGTTAATTTTGTCTGCCCAGTGAATTCTAAAGATTCACCGTAAGACCAAATCCCCCAAGGCCTCACGAAATAACCTAATATATACTCAAAGTTAAAAGGTCGAAGAATTTGATAATTGACTTACTGCGGGTGGTAAATAGTGAAGATGGCATGCCAGATGCCAGTGTAGGAATGAGGAATGCAATAATCCAGCGCCTTGAGGTCATTATGTCCTAAAAGAACCCTACCAGAGCAATTTTTAGATTCGTTCCAAGTGTCTGCTTGTCAGTTTCTGCTCTTAGGCTGTCATTTTTGTTTATCATTTCCTGCAGGTGTTTTTATTTGGCAGTCACTGGGGAAACAAATATGCAGTTACAGTCATGTGTGCGTGTTTGTTTGCATGTAAGTGTGAAAATGTCCATGGGTATATGTGTAGAGATAAGTGTACGCAGTTTTTTTTTTCAGTTTTGAAACTGTTCTGTGTATTTCTACTTTACATTCAATCTTCTTTCGCGTGCGATTGTTGTCCTAAGATTTCATGGGGTTTAAAGCACATTAATATCCACGCAGCGGCACAGACGCCAGCACAGTAGTCATAAGTTTGAAATTCCCAACGCGGATGGTTTAAAAACAAAACTGAATAGGGCAGTCAGGATGACAGACTACAACAAGTGTACATACGTATTCTGAAAAGTACAAGCGGTTGACGAGAGCCGCGGTGATGTAGTAGTTAGTAGCTTCACCTTCCGACCCAAAAGTCTTTGGTTCAGATTAACATTTAGTGGGATTTTTTTTTTAAATTCAAAAAATGACTTTGGCTTCCAGGTCACCTAATCTAGAATGTGTACCAGGTAAAGAAGTAAAGGCGACCGGCGAGATGTTGAACACATCACACAACAAGGGCCAATTGGTCTATACAAATATCAGTCTAGCATCATATAGTAGTAGTAAGGTTTGAGGTTAGAACAACGGATCAACATAATGGCACACGGGTAGGGTAGTTACTCATAAGTGTTCCGTTCTTCTTCTACCTCAATTCTGTAGCCCCGGCGAGGATCCTGAAATACTTTAGGTGATTTTTAACTCCAAATTTTGTTCGGCAACGCCGTTAGGCTACTCTTTTCGATTTCCAGATGCCAATGGATTTTTTTACGTGCGCAACAATAAACACGGGCGTCCGATCTCACTACTAAGAGACCAGGGGGAATTAGAAGAATTCTAAGTTTACGTGAAACAATCCCAGCCCTTACCAGGGATTGAACACGGAACCTCTAGCACTCGACACCATGCATCGAGACCACGCAGCCTCCTATAGTAGTAGTAATTGAAACAACAATTCCGAACAACCAATTCCAATTAAAATTGGAATACAAATATATAGTTTTGTTGTTGTTGTTTTGTTTCTATTTCCATAATGGATATTTATGCTATCAAATAGGTTTGGTTGTTCAATGTTGAAAAGCGTATGTGTCAATTGTATACGCGTGTAGTAGTACAGATAGTTGACTAATCTGAAGTATATTTTCACGCAGTTATAATAATTACAAGTTTATCGTGTTTTTCTTATGTACTGTTTAACCCTGCCCTGTACTTATCTAAGGCCACCCAGCGTGTTGTCCACTGTCATAGACTTATTGCGGTGGACCATATATTCAATTCAGATTTCAATTTCTTGCAGTACAGTAAATAATGATCAATATTATTATGTATCTGACAAACAAAAAGGGTGTCTTCTGTCATAGTGAAATAAGCCAACCAAGCTGACAATTGTGTAATTTCTTATTGCAGGGGATTTTTTATTTCACTAGCTGTAGCATTAAACAATCTGTAGGCACGTCTGCCTTTTAAACGTTCACTCCTCATGCCTGCTCATTATTATATTTACTTTAAATCTGATTGTAAAATCATCCCTACTTATAGCTACATGAATTTTATTATTATTTGTTCGCTTTTTTTTTCTTTGCTATTTTGTCTGTATTTTTATTTCATTCATTTCCCACATGTTTTGGTACCCACATAATTAGTCCTGAACATCCTCTTGTTTATGACCGTTGCATTAATGGCGAGAAAATGATCCCTGAACTCTTTCAGTCCCAGAATGTTATAACTGATGCTTTATTGAAGCAATACTGATTACAATAAAAGCACTAGTATGCTGCAACACACGGTCCAAATACACAGCACATTGTGGTGTTACTTGTGTTGCTGGGCTGTGAAGGTGACTTGTGTTGTTGGGCTGTTTGGGTGACTTGTGTTGCTGGGCTGTGTGGGTGACTTGTGTTGCTGGGCTGTGTGGGTGACTTGTGTTGTTGGGCTGTTTGGGTGACTTGTGTTTTTAGGCTGTGTGGGTGACTTGTGTTTTTAGACTGTGTGGGTGACTTGTGTAGTTGGGCTGTGTGGTTGACTTGTGTTGTTGGGCTGTGTGGGTGACTTGTGTTTTTAGACTGTGTGGGTGACTTGTGTTGTTGGGCTGTGTGGGTGACTTGCGTTTTTAGGCTGTGTGGGTTACTTGTGTTGCTGGGCTGTGAAGGCGACTTGTGTTGTTGGGCTGTGTGGGTGACTTGCGTTTTTAGGCTGTGTGGGTTACTTGTGTTGCTGGGCTGTGAAGGCGACTTGTGTTGTTGGTCTGTGTGGGTGACTTGTGTTGTTGGGCTGTGTGGGTGACTTGTGTTGCTGGGCTGTGAAGGCGACTTGTGTTGTTGGGCTGTGTGGGTGACTTGTGGTGTTGGGCCGTGTGGATGACTTGTGTTTTTTTGGCTGTGTGGGTTACTTGTATTGCTGGGCTGTGTGGGTGACTTGTGTTTTTAACTTAAGATGTACAAATATACAAAACAAGTTGACTGCCACACAGCAGTAATATCTGGTATACATGGTGCGTTATTTGGAACTGAAAGAATTAATTTACATATTCAAAGACGGTTTGGCGTGGTTTGGCTATTTCGCCTACCGACGAATGATTTACTTTAAACCTTACCATTACATCACACCGAGCCATAAACACCCAGGGACAAAAAGTGCCACCATTCGGATGAGGACCACACGAGGACAGGTCCCAGAAACTCTGTTCAATCGTTATGTTATATAAGGGCACTGACGTCATCTGGGGTGGAGCTTTAAAAAAGGCATCTCATATCGGGATAGCTTATAATGATATAAATGATGTTCGCATATCGAGCGCTGTTTGGTCTTTAAATAAAAGCTAAGATACCCCAGTTTACCCTTCCTTGACAATGTTACACTGCACTCACCAGTGTTTTCCATTATGGCTAGGGGCTGCGTGGTCTCCAGGCATAGTGGACGCCTCGAGTGCTAGAGGTTTCGGGTTCAATCCCCGGTAAAGGCTGGGATTTTTTCATGTGGGCTTGGACTTCTAGTAAATCCCCTCTGGTCTCTGGGTAGTGAGATCGGACGCCCGAGTGCATTGCTGCGCACTTTAAAAAAACATCTTAGCAGTTGGAAATCGAAAAAGAGTAGCCTAACGGTGCTGCCCGGGCAAAATGTGGAGTTATAATTTACATTTCAGGATCCTCGCAGGTGCTACAGATTCTGTGCACGGTGCTGTGCTTCTTCGAACTCAGACTTGAGCTAGAAGAAGAACGGAGCACTTATGGGTTACCACCCGTGTGCCATGATGTTGATCCGTTGTTCAAACCTCACACCTGTTCCCATTAAGGCTCTGTATTTTATTATTGCCCTCGACTACTTGCGCCCAGTATCCTGATCATTGTGTCAATGTTTACATTGCATTTTCAGAACAATGTTAATTAATTTAATGTATCAATGCTACGTTGAATAAAATATTGCTTATTGTTTACAGAAAGTTACTTCACCAAGCCTGTGATGAGAAGGCAAAAACTGGAGTACATTTTGACAGCAGGAAAGTTGGAGGGGAGGAGAGGCAGAGGGAGACCGAGAGAAAAGATGCTGGACAGTTTGACATCATGGCATGGATTCATTAAAAGTACACGAGACAGAAGGTTGTGGATAGACATAACTGCCAACGCCACACGGAATGGACTTCAAGAAGAAGAAGATCAAAGCTACGTTTAATATATACACTACTTACGTGATTACCAGGCAAATTACTGTTCATTCACTCAGTTGGTTTATCAACATCATATTTCACTTGGGAGTGTAAACTGAACGCAACTGTGATATCAACTCCGCCGGACAATTACCGAAAACTCTCATCTTCTTCATATAAATATACTGAAACATTTATCAAAATCGCTCGCTGAGAAATGAGAAACTAACAAAAACACTAGTTCTCGTAAAGTATTTAGTTCTGCAACTTATATCGCCTTTCATTGATATCTCTAATTCACAACCACAAGGCGAAATGTTTGATGGTGCTTTTTTTTCTCAGTTACAAGTAGAACAACGCTTGAAGGTTTCCCCTCGGCCCACGCCCCCCCCCCCCCCAATTTTATTCTTCTGTTGACTAACAACGGTACCCTACATCTGGAATTGATAAGATTACACAACATATATGCTTTTGTTGGCGTGCTGAACGTCTCTGACAACTCGAGAATCTTATATCCTGTGGCCGAATTTACCATTCTAGGTCATTCTGTCTATACAAGACGAGTTGGTGATAGACTGGCGGACTAAATAGTGGACACACGAGAAAGTAGACATATCTGAATCGCTGGACTGATATACAGATAGACAGGTGGGTGAATGGGCGGAGAGACAGGCATACGGACGGGCAGACATAGTTAGTTGCGCATCCTTTACAGGACGCTGTAGAACCAACCCCAGCATTGTTTGGCTGTTGTGGTTTTTCTAGGCAAGTTTACGTCCAGTAGTTTGCCATTGCTTTCTAGAAATATAGACAGGCAGGCAGGCAGGCAGGCAGGCAGACAGACAGACAGACAGACAGACAGACAGACAGACAGACAGACAGACAGACAGATAGATAGATAGATAGATAGATAGATAGATAGATAGATAGATAGATAGATAGATAGATAGATAGATAGATAGATAGATAGATAGATAGATAGATAGATATCCAGATCTGGGGCTACTTACTGACGACACATACATACATAAAAACACATTTTACATTCTTACATACATGCTTCTACGTGTCTACGTCTACGTGACGCTCAACTCAACCAGGACAGCGCAATGAGGAATAATCACCCGGTGACACAAAGTGCCACCATTCGGATCATAACCCTCCCCCCCCCCCCCCACCGGGGCACAAATCCCAGAAACCCCGTTCAACCGTTAGGTTATATTAGGAGCCCTGTCGACCGCCGGATAAGGCTTTGAAATAACAACAAATTGCGTCTCATACTGAAGCGGGTCTGTTCGTTTACGTCTAATTTGAAGATTATATTCAATGAAGAACACAGCGGCGTCCAGGAGAAACTCTGAGACAAACGTTGTTGAAAGAATTGTTCAAACGTTGGCGAAAGAGTTGTTCAAACGTAGTTGAAAGAGTTGTTCAAACGTTGGTGAAAGAGTTGTTCAAACGTTGTTGAAAGAGTTGTTCAAACGTTGGTGAAAGAGTTGTTCAAACGTTGGCGAAAGAGTTGTTCAAATGTAGTTGAAAGAGTTGTTCAAACGTTAGTGTAAGAGTTGTTCAAACGTTGGTGAAAGAGTTGTTAAAACGTTGAAAGAGTTGTTCAAACATTGTTGAAAGAGTTGTTCAAACGTTGGTGTAAGAGTTATTCAAACGTTGGTGAAAGAGTTGTTCAAACGTTGTTGAAAGAGTTGTTCAAACGTTGGTTAAAGAGTTGTTCAAACGTTGGTGAAAGAGGCCAGGGTGCTGAACCAGTTTCGAGACAGGATATTTAAAGAACTGCACAGGACAGATTGGAATAAACGAACAGACTGCAAGCTCTGTGTGACATATAAACGGCACACGAGATTGATAATGAAGTTTGTTTAGAAATATTCCCGCAGACTTCAAATATAGGACAATATGTTTCTCTATGTAATTTTAGAACATTATGTCAAAATAGGTATGTCTTTCAAGTGCTTAACTTGCGTCAGTAACATTCTTGTCGAATAAGGAGAGCAAAGTTAGTGTCTTATCAAATCTGTTTACACTGGGGGTGGTTTATTATCGATATTATGCAGCTGTGAATGAATGTGAATGCTATCATGAGTTACCACATGAAGCCTCAGAAATGTTATAAATGAGTTTACTGTGGTGTTCTCACTCCGTGTTATGTCTACACAACAAAACAGCATGGTAATATCAAAGAGATTGATAATTTGAACAAAGCAGACACAAACAATAGATTGCACAATTATTGCCCGCATATTTCCCTGTATCTCATCAGGTGCATACTACAGTAACAATTGATTAAAATGATGCAAATAAATGAATCCTTCGAACTGAAACACAAAATTGACTACATTCAAAAACTGTCTGTTTCCCAGGGTAAACGCAAGATAAAGACCATATCCTTTTGTCTGCATAATTCTGAACTAAAGTGGTTTATAGAGGCTGCTTTCACTAATCTCAAAAATCTGCAGTTGGCTGAAGTGTAAATAATTTGAAATGCACCTTCCTTATTTACAATGTGTCCAGAATTCAAAATATGGCACGCAATGGCTGACAGGGGATTTTTTCGACCAGTCACCTGATTCATTGTGGTTGTTAGGTTTTTGCGTTGCGTATACCACCCATAGTGGAATATGTTCAGCAACCCGTTTCTCCGTCATCAATCAGTTCTGCCCACATATGCAGTAAACTGGTAAATACAATTAGATTTGGCATACGTCGACGCTGGGAGGGAGAGGGAGCTCAGAGAAGCTAGGGCTCATTTTACACATTTTTAAGCTTTCATGTTGGAGTGCAAAAAAATAATGTCATGAATTTAAACAAATATAACAATGTATTTGAAATAGGAATGAGAATGAAGGAAGAAATCTTTGCAGAAGGGATGAAAGCTGAGTGTCTGAGAAGAAACAGATTAAATACATATGTTGACAATAACGGTCCTGAAATCCCATGCTATCAACATTATTAACAAAATGTCAGTTCATTGAACCAGAAGGAAGACTCTTCTTAACGTGGGCAGGTATTTATAGTCACACTCGCCCTCGCAAACTTGGGAGCTTAGACCTCATGAACTCTCCCCTCCTGCAAACTTGAGGGGGGGGGATGTTAACTAAACACCAATATTCCCCCCCCCCCCCTCCTTTTCCAAGGAGGCCCTGAAACCCCCCATGGAAAGAAGGCAAATGCAATCTGGCAAGATACATAAAACTATAATCACTAAAATACGCCATAATTTCCTACATAAACCGAGAAAACGATGAAAGACTGGAGACTAAATGAATACGTTCTGTGTTCTCACCCTTAAAAGGGTAGTTGCCACATTGTGCTGTGCTTACTGCTAGACTGATATCTGCAACTTTTAACACATCCAATTTCTGCTATCTCTTAATTAGTCACTGTTTAATATATCCTTCTTTGGGGTCTTTGTTGGCATATGTGGCTTATGCAATGCAAATGCGCTTCGTAATGCTGTGGTGGGTGTTCGATCCTAACTGCGGGCTGCAGCTTGCGTTGCTTTTGACAGTGGTATCGAGAAGCCGACCATCCAGAAAGCAATGGAATACTACTGGACGTAAATTTGTCTAAAAAATCAAAGCAGCCAAGAAATGCTGGGGTTGGTTCTGCAACGTCCTGTAAAGGACATGCAACTAACATTCTTAGGGGACAGTTGGTCTATCCTTTTTCTCCCAAAAATGGGGCCCAGAACCCAGTTCAAGAGTAGCTGAAAACAGGGCACTGAACATTTGTTAAATATGTAAATGAATGGATCAGAACAAAATAAAAAGACCAGGCTTTTGATTAAAAATTGTAGAAAATCTTTTATTTTTATTTCTGTATTATTCTATGATATCTTGAAATCAGATCTGTGAATCTCGCAGCAGTATATGTCATGAAATCTTTATAAAGTATATTTTAAAACATTCCCTAATTATAGGCTTCTATTAATAAATCCACAAAGGCCTCAGAATGTTTTACACCAGAATGCTTAACAAGCAAAATTAATAATTCAAAAGTTGTGAATATGCTTAAGACATGAAGACAACTTATCAACATCATTATTTTTTGGCCAAATTGTGAAAAGAAATGAAAACTGAATACATTGTGACAACTTGAAAGATGAACAAAAGACAATAAAGGAAGACATTGGGAGAAGATTCTAGATATTCTTTTGTCATGGCATGGAAAAGTTTCACCTCTCAAACCGAGTGAATTACAAAAGACAGTGAACTTCAAACTAGAACATGTTAAATATGAAAATGAATGGATCAGAACAAAAATAAAAAGACCAGGCTTTTGATTAAAAATTGTAGAAAATCTTTAATTTTTTTATCTGTATTATTCTTTGATATTTTAAAATCAAATCTGTGAATCTCACAGCAGTATATGTCCTGAAATTCTTACAAAGTATATTTTAAAACATGCCCTAATAATAGGCTTCTATTAATAAATACACAAAGGCCACAGAGGTATAGTTTACATCAGAATGCTTAACAAGCAAAATTATAGTTCAAAACTGAATTCATTGTGACAACTTGAAAGGTTTATGAACAGAAGACAATAAAGGAAGACAATGAGAGAAGATTCTAGATAGTCTTTTGTCATGGCATGGAAAAGTTTCACCTCTCAAGGTGGGTGAATTATAAAAAAAATGGTGAAGTTCATACTAGAGACAACATTGAAGAAATAAACTATTTCAGGTGATAGAAAGAAGAAGAAGAACAACCTGCTGCATCATTAATACCACACTGACAGAATTCCCTTTCTCTATCTTTTTCTACCTATATTATCTGTCCCTTGGAGTATAGACCCTCAATCAATCCACATCAAGCTATCCTATGTTCTGCCATTTCCTACATTTCACTCTATCTTCAATAATTAATTGTTTGTCTGTAATTCTTCTCTCTGAGTGCTTTAATGTCCATTTATCTCTCTTGACCTGTGGGTTCTGGTCTGAGGATATACTTGTTATCTTGTTATCAATGTCTGTCCTGTCCAGTATGGGTTCGTTTCCTCACCTCTTGATTCACTGGCATTTGTTCAATTCTTTCCATAGGCTCAAGATTAGTAAGTAATTCTATTGCTATTTAACCCTTTCAGCCTTAGAAGCTGAAATATCACATCCATTACAAATCCCATAGAAACCACCATTTCAGTTTCCTCCCATAGCCCAGTCCTCTGAAGGCATATTTATCAGTTCTGGTATTGTTTGCAGCTTAGCAAATCCACTACCCACAATGTCACTATTGTTTCTTTACATGGAAGACAAGAATGAATAATCAAAATCATTATTGTAAATAAGTAAAATTTATATATTTCATAAAGGTTACAAGAATGTTGACAGAAGACATGAGATTAGATAAAGTGACATATGCAAGAATGTGTGAACGAAGAATCAGGATTGGTCTGGCAAGGAGGGACGTATGAGAGGAAGAGAACAATGTGTGTATAATCGGTGTGCTACGGAAACAGTTAGCATTTACATCTTAAGACATTTGCTGGAGGAGACGGAGCATCTATGGGTATGCTCAGTGTGCTATGGTGATTCTTAAATCAGTAATCAGTACTGGCATTTAACACTCTGTGCATCATTGTTTCTCTCAACAACAAATACAATTAAATCAAACTAAATACAAATGCAGATCTGAGTATTTCCCTGTGTAACATAAAGTTAGCTGTGTATCCTTTACAAGACATTGCAGAACCAACCCCAGCATTTTCTGGCTGTTTTGGTTTTTTTAGGCAAATTTACATCCAGTAGTTTGCCATTTCTTTCTGGATGGTCGGCTTCTAATACAACTGTCGAAACCAGCGCAAGGCCCACAGCTAGGATCGAACCAGGCACCTCAGCATTAAAAAGCCACAGACGCCGACCTGTCTAACATCGCTTTACAATAATTTCCCTGCCTCTGCGTAAAAGCTGACCAGGTAAACTTCACTGGCCTGGTTTTATCCAGCCTGATGTAGTCTTTGTCTGTAGAATAGCAAGCTGTCCCCTGAGAGTATCACCCAAAGATCATATCCCACAGCTAAATTAGCAATACTTAGTGATCTTAGAAAAACTGAACTTGTGAACTAAACAGCAGTATAAAAAACAAACCTATGACCTTCACTGTGGAATAAGACAGCCTGACCCCCTCGCCACAGAGATCATTTTTCCTGTCTATGTTAATTTCAGAACTTGCTTGAAATGAGCCAGACTTGGTGGCAAGCAGACATCCTCCTCATCTAAGCAGACAAAAATCTGGACAGTGACCTTGATGGTGTACACACCTGGCGTGATACCCTGTGGTAAGGTGAAGGTCAAGGCAGCAAGTCCCTTAGACAATCCATCACTGGCAACAGAATGAAGATTTCCCTTCTGATCCAGTAAATTTGCACTCGGCTCATCTGAAAACAATTGTAAATTTACACTTGATATGTCTTAATCTCTGTCTTGCCATTTTTTTGGGCAGTACAGGACAGGGAATTGTGAGGATGAGAATTTCACCCTTTCAACAAAACCGGCACTTTCAGTATGTGCTATGTGCCCCTCAAATGTCGCTTAACTGGCGCAGCTATAGTTACTTGTTTATGAGACTCCTCGCTCGGTTCTTTCATAATATCCTACCCCAGATGACGTCACATGACAGTCCAACATTTTAGAGGATGGTAAGACTGGGTTTCCCGGCTTTCTGATGCTGTTAACGACCCCAAAACATCTAGAAATGGCCCTAACCCCAACCCACCTACGTCCCACGAGAGAGTGCAGCCCAAGTCCCATGACTGCAAGCAGCCTACCTGCTACCCCCTGAAACATTAGACTGTCACATGACCTGTGGATTTTCCCTGTTTGGGGTAGAATATTCAGAAAGCACCAAAATATACTTTGTGGGTGTTTTCTTGTGATAAACTGTCTTTATTTATAGAAATTATGATGCAATGATTTCCCATTAGTCAATGTGGTCTTCAGCAGCCGGGTCACAGGGTCAAAAACATTTGTCACAGTATTAGATTTACTTAAGCTCAGAAAGATGTAACCCAGTGGATTCTCTGCTGCATTCATTTTTAGTAATCACTCAGTTTGATACATGCGTAATTTTTTTTTTCATTTTAATGTCCAAAAATGTCATTTTTACTAATGTTTTTAGTGAACTGTGTAAAATGGTTGCATTTTTTTTTAAAGGTATATTTATCAGGGAAACCCTAAATTAAAAAGTAGGGTCATTGGCATTTTCTTCTAGGTCACCGGGGTGAAAGAGTTAAGGCTACAAGGCTAATGCAGTCACCATGAAATATGCAGTTTATGATTATTTGACATGCTCATTCAAAAACCAAGCAACTTCACCACGTGTTTGCTGCTATCTACTGACATTGGTTTCTGAACTCTCTTTGCACCCAGATCAGATATTACATTCAACCACTTGGCCCCTAATTCTCAATTCAACTACTCCTGTCCCATGGTGCTATCATAACATTTGCCAGAGCAGCAACCTTGCATCCTACTCTTTACTATTTCAACCATCATGGGATTATTATTGTGTATATATATTTGTTAACTCTTTGAGTCCCAGGGAACGCATCATAAGTTTATAGGTTCCTATGTAGAAACCCAATGAACACATGATACGTCGATTTTACTCTCTCTTTACTACCCATTGGGCCTGTGATGCTAAACCCCCTGGGACTCAAAGAGTTAATAGAAAAGTATTTAGAAATTAGACCTGCTGGTCTAGTGATCATACAGTGAAATCTCTATTAATTTTTTTTTTTAACCTGACCTGGGATCCCAGGCCAGCCAACAAAAAGTGAGTAGCAGGAAATGTGCTGGGAAGTAAAGCAGCCAGAATGATAATGGTCACACCATTATTCTTCTCCTTCAGTGATCTCTGGTCATGTGCTTAACCCACTTTGGGCCAAAAACTGGAATGTTATGTTGTTATCACAATCAACATCACTGCACATTGGGCATTCCCATGCATGCTTAGTCCTCCGATGCAGCAGCGACTCCAAGGTACTTCTACTAACTGTTCCAATGAGAGGCTGGTTATAATGTCTCCTATCTCGGCCCCAAAGGCTGCAAAGACGTGTTTCACCATGCTTTACTCCCATGTCATTTTCTGTTCTGTCAATGTTTCTTCCCACATGCGTTGGTGCACTGCTCGCCTATTGGTCCGCTCACTCATTACCCTTTAGAAGCAGCGGATATCTCCATGGTCATGCTTGCTGTAGTTGTCTGTCCTCTTTTACTGTTTTGCTCATCCTTTGTGCTGTGTATGCCTATGCTGACCTAGATCTGTGCTTTACTGTTCTATCTGTGTAGATGATGATGATTTCTGAGTTTGAATGCTGATCTATCAGTGCCCTTACCTCTGTGTCTACGGCTGCAGAAATTGTTTCTTTTCTATTGAGTCACCACATCACGTGGGATTTAGGGAAACCCCACAGTATAGAGGGTTAGGGTTAGTAGTAGTCTCTATTCATTTAACACTAGCCGTAACCCTAACCGCTCTATACTGTGGTATTTCCCTAAATCTCAGATGATGTTGTGACTTAACAGAAAAGAAGCCAGGAATCTGATCCCTGCAGTACCTCCATAGTGAGTGTGATGACAACCTTAGATTTGCCATGTATGTCTTTGGTGTATTCGCCCATTCTTTTCAATGATCTAGTCTAGGTCACATAGCTGCTGGATTAAATCTTCAGCACTGGCCATCCTGAAGCGGCCTTTTTTTTAAAGATGCATTCCTTTTGTGTCATGTATAGCTTTGTGCAGTGGTTGGTTAATGTCTGCCAATACCATCATGTACGCCTTGACCTGTGCAACTTTGTGTCTGTTAGCCACTATTGGCAAACCCAGGACATATCACATGGCGTGACAGGAGGTACTTCTGTGCAGTGGAGTATGAGTCTCGGGGCCTCATTTCATACTCGGCCCAGTCTTTCTAGTTGGGTTCTGCTGACAGTAGGATGGCCCAAATCACAGTCAATGATGCTTAACACAAGCCCTTGATAGAGGAGGAAAACCAGGCCTTGTTCAATAAGCTGCTGTTAGCACCCTGAGCGCTGTCAGACCTTTTCTGCCTCTAAGTATTACACTGTCTATATGATACTCGTATGATAAGCATCACATGTCATGCCCATATATTTCATTGTGTCCATTCTCTCGATGTCCACACCACACATGCTTATCTGAAATGTCAGCTGAAGATTTCTTAGGTTCCCCCAAAGCTAGGCTATCAGGTATAAGGTGTGACATCATCCTGTACATGTATGTGCCTAGCACCACATGCCCAATAGTCCTTAAATTCCAGCATACTGGGCATTTAGGGCTGGACCTATATTTTATTTATCAATCGGCACTCGGTGGGTGATGAGGTCAACATCATGCCGACCTCCTTTACTTCCCAGGACTTTACCTGGTACCCATTTAAGGCTGGATCAAGCTGGCAGCCGAGGTAATTTTTAAAGAAAAGTCTGGCTCGTCAGGTCCTGAACCAACGACCTTCTGATACTCAGTCAAGCGTCTAGCTGCGACATCATGGCAGCTACCAATATGAGTATGTGATCTGAAATGAAACTATTTCACTTAACTAGAGTACAGAATTATCAGAGATGGTGATGAACTCATTTCCTCATCCCCTCTGCTTCTCAAGAAAAGTATCTGTTTAACAGGCTCAGTTGACCCCAAAGCTGTATATGAGAGAAATATACCCATGTTCACTGGTGATGGAACCCATACCTTTATCAATGTAAGTCAGTACACTATCTATTAGGCTATCATGGCAGTAAGATAAGGAGAAACACTAATAGCATGAGAAAATCTGCCCAAATTAAAAAAATTACATATATTACATATAGCAGGTCCTTTGCAGAACGTCGCTCTTGTAAGGTTTGCCTGAAAGAAACTCGGTCTCTCACCAACTCTCCCGCCTCGTGTACTTTCATAATCGAAAAGTCATTTATATCATGTGCCCATCTTCATGTTAGTCTGTCCCTTCCCCTTCTTCTATTATTTTTCCAGTCCGCCAAGGCATTTGATACAACCAAAATATTTCATCTTCCCAGACAGGATGCTGTTGATTAGCCAATCTTTCTTGACGTTCAGATCTTTTACCCATCAGCTACAATAAAATAATTCATCAACTGATAACTGCAGAGAATAAAAGTAATGAAATGATATGGCAGAACTAATGCAGTTTAGGAAGAGAACTAAGGAAACCCCTGTGATTCGAGTGAGGAAATGCTGATGGTGGTAGCTGGGGCACACACTTTAAACACTGGATAAAAGTATGCATAATTAGGATCTCCTTGCTTGCACAAGAACCCACCGAGCAAAAGAGAAAGAGGGACACTGAAAAACACATGAAGAACAGAATAACTGACAGAGATTAATAGAGAAAGGATATGGAGAAATCTGCATGAGGGGGGAAAAAACAGGATATCTTGCGAGCAGGTGGTGGACGGCCTAAGCTCCAATGTGGGAAAAAAAGCCAAAGAATTCAAAATAGCTGGCTTTAAAATATGTTTTAAATAGGTTATCTTACCCAAACTGCAAATTTTCCAGCTATTTGGTGCATCTTTATTGATATGTGACCCATCAGGCAACTTCAAAGGCACTGTCAGGGTTACTGTGCGACTTGATGTAGGCACAGTAACATCAGGCAAAGGCACTGCTTCATCCCTTGGTAATCTGCTATTTCCAAGCAACTGAAAATTAAAATGAAAGCAACTTTAAAGGCACTGTCAGGGTTACTGTGCAACTTGACGCTGGCACAGTTACATCAGGCAGAGGCACCGCTTCATCCCTTGGTAATCTGCTAGGTCCAAGCAACTCAAAAATGTTAATGTAAGCATGTGGGTGTTTAAAATTTTTCCCTTCTAGATTTGCATTCTACAGGATTAACATCTCAAGTATGAGAATCAAACAGCTACAAAATGTGGAAACCCTGTTCAACTATACAGCACAGCACTGTTATACTGCGGCTCCACAAAACAGTTACACCGTAACCTGTAGTTCTGTGTGTGGAATATGGTGAAGTTCCAGTACTGGGCAGTGAAGATGCGAAGGGCTGCTATGCAATAACATCTCCATGATTTTGGTACCTTACTCCACTAATTCAAGCCTTTTCCAGGATTTAGATGACCTGAATGCTAAAAAGTTAAAATCAGTCTTTAGTGAATCCTCACTCAGTAATCCCATCCATCTTAACTGTAACTTCAACTCACGAGCAACATTTGACAATTTTAACCCGTTTAAATGCAATATTTAATCACTGAATGGTAACGATTACTTGCTTTAGAAAGAATTAAAATAAAAAATGTTTACCTGTGAAGATGAAGTATTCTTTTCTGGGTTGTTATTTGCTTCTTTGTCACTAGGGAAAACAATTGGGAGCTGCAAGAATGAAAGAATTGGATTATAAAAGAAAAAATGCATCTCAAACTGCAAACAAAATTCCTACTCCAGGTACATGAAAACTATTCTAAACCAAAGAATGAAAAACGTTTACTTAGTAGATAGTGTAGTCTTTTTATTCTTAGTGTTTATCAGCTGTAAACTCCAGCAGAAAGTTCTGGTTGTTCCTCCACCTCTCCAATTTAGTCTTGTTCCAGAAATTAGGTTTTGAATGCACATCTATTTACATATCTGGCTTATTTGTATGCAGCTGTTGATTCCTCGCCTCTCAGGCAGATGCTCTCTAACTTTGAAGGGAACCCCTAATCAGCTGCCTTGTACAGCATGCTTATTGGGGGGCAAGGTGTCTATTCTTTTGCCCCTCAATGGGGTTTCGGAAGTCACATGTGGCAACTGTGTATGTGATAATATGTGCACATATTCCCTTCTTCTTTTCTCTACTCCTGGAATGCCTCACAGCATCAGGGCAAGAAGGGAACTCTTGAACGGGCTCTTCTGCTCGCTTTGTATATAGTACTTTACAGTGTTTTTGATATTTCTGCGATCAATATTCGACCTCTGCTTTGTTATTGTTGTACCTCTTCTTCTTCTTCACATTCACTGGCTGTAAACTTCGGCAAAAAGTTCTAGATATCTGTCCACCTCTGGACTTTAGTCTTGTTCCAGAACCTGAGTGTTGCATGTACATCCATTTTCCACACATAACTTATCTGTGTGCAGACTGTTGGTTCCTTGCCTCTCAGGCAGTTGCACTCCGACTTTGAAGGAAGCCCCCAGTTAGTCGTCTCTTACAACATGCTTGTTGGAGAGGCAGTCGGTATATTCTTGTTTTCCCCACAATGGGGACCCAAAACCCACACGGGTAACTGTTGTATCTGTATAACACTGCTATATTTCCATCTTCCACAAACAAATATATACACATGCCCAGCAAGAAAAGATCCATTACCTATCCAAAAGCATGCAGATTAATTGGGAACTTCTTTCGAAGTAGGAGTGCATCTGCCTGAGAGGGAAGGAACCAACAATCTGCATAAAAATGTGTAAAACAAATGTGCACACACCACTCAGGTTCTGGAACAGGACTAGAGTCCAGAGGCTGACGACAAAGCTAGACCTTTCCGTTGGAGTTTACAGCTGGCGAAAGCGAAGAAGAAGATATCTCAAAGAAGCTGCAGACAGGAAACAGCTCACGCATGAAGTACCAGATACAGCTAAGGGTCACAGGCTGAAAAGGGAAAGGTCTTGGATGGCACAAGCTGAAGACACAATTACAGATGTGCTCAGGCTTGATAATACTGGGCGAGGAGAGGAGTAGGTCAAGTGTCCGAGCAACACTCAAACGTGTGCATGGTTCTAGTCATACTGGGCCAGAAGTTAAGGGACTGGCCAAAGGTCCTGCAGTATCAGAAGTTCAACTGATTCATGAATATTCCCACCAAGCTGATGTGATTATCTATAGAGGCAGAAGAACTGCATGGGAGTTCACAGAAAAGCGAATGGACATTACTTAGTGCAGCATATTCTGCCAAATGACACCACAACATCTAGTTTGAGAATGGTGATGAAGGCAATCACTGCAGTCTTTCACTGATTTGAGAAGAAGTAGAACAGGTGTGGAAGGCAAAGAGAGCCGCAGTGAAGCAGTTAAAGAAAGTACGACAGACACCCTCAAGCTCACGAGAGGAAATGGAGATGGCAAAGAATGTGAAAAAAGATAAGGTGGAGGTTTTTAAGCGCTGTGCTGCAGAGGCCAAAAGAGCAAAGTGAGTGAATGATATGGGAGGCGATAAAACATTGGGGAAATTCTGGAAACAGCAAAGGGAGATGCAAAGAAAAGATCGGCCTATGACAGTTGGAACAATTTGTAGAGACGATGGTGTGCGTATGACAACAGACAAGGAGAAAGGGGAGGCTTTTCTCCATAGGTTTATAGCTCAGACAGACCGTAATGATGTAGACATCAAGGATGGAGTTAGAAGGGAGTCTTGAAGAATATGCATTATGAAGACATGATACAAGTGGAAGATATCAAACAAATTTTGAAAAAAGCAAAAGACACTGCACCAGGGCCTGATGGAGTCAGGTATGGTCACATGAAGGCTTTGAGCGATGTAGACCTGGCAGAGATGGCCGACTGTTTTAACCAGAGCATTAAGACAGCATCAGTACCGCAAGACTAGGTGCACAGCTATCTTTTCCCACTACCAAAACCTTTTAAAGATCATTCAAAGCTCAGTGGCTTTAGAATCATCACCTTATAAAACACATTTTGGGAAGGTCTTGGAGAAGATAGTTGCTGTAAAGCTGCAAGAATTTTTGGAAAGGGGGAAGCTTCTCCCAAGAGGTCTGGGAAGTTACAGGCCAGGAAAGGACACTTGGGCAAATGAAGCAACTTTTGCTTTTGATGTTTATGAAGGGTTCCAGAACAGATAGGAAACTATGGCGGTAGGACTGGATCTCGAGGATGCTTATAACAGAGTGAGATTATTAATGACTGCACTGAAGGAGAAGGAGGTCAGTGTATGGCTGGTGAATTGGGTTGCAGCTGTCCTGTATTCACGTCGGGTTGCTCTCTGACTGAGCTCATGGACCTCAGAACCATGCAGTTTGGCCCCAGGACTACCACAGGGATCCGCCATCTCGCCTGTGCTCTTTAACATGTATACGAGCAAGATTGCAAGCCTAGAAGCACTAGGAGTTGGAAGGATACTGACTTTTGCGGATGATATACTTGCATATAGACAGGGGGAAGAGAGGGAACAAACAGCCAGGGAGCTACAAGCGACAGTAGACAAAGTGACTGAGTGGTGTACAGCAATGAGGGCTGTCGTCCACCCGGAAAAGGCGTATGTTTTGTGGTGTTCTCTGGACAACAGAATCATTAAAGCTAATGTCCCAAGTCTCACGATAGATGGTAGAAAAAAAAAAATAGAGAGCAAAATGAAGTATCTGGGAATTACATTTGACAGGAGCCTGTCATTTAAGGATCATGGAGAGTGTTGTGACGAGATGCCAAAAAGGACTTAGTGCACTTAAGACTATAGCTGCAATTGACACAAAGCAAAGTGATAAAAATGGCTTTAGAAGTCCCAGGTAGTAAGTGTCCTTATGGCATTTTTCACATTTTTTTCTCTACAGCTAACACAATTACATGATCTGAAAATGAAGCCTGATGAAGTACACTGGTGATGTCTCTGAGGTCAGAACAGACCGCATTGTAATCAACTTCTTATTGGAACAATCAGTACAGCAACATTGAGATGGCTACTGCATTGGAGGCCAGCAAGCATGGGAATGCCAAATGTGCAGTGATGTCAACAGTGATAACATAGCATCACATAACACACATTCAAGCAGAAGTAAATCCTAAACATACATCTCTTCCCATACCTGATAAATAGTCTTTTTAACGAGACTGATGGCTTTGATGGCATGGTTATTGGTATCTGCGACATAAATCATCTGGTCATGTTCATCAACAGCAACGCCTCCTGGTTCATTGAATTGACATTTTGTTAAATCTGATGTGTCAAGTGTTGAACCTTGATGGCCGGTACCAGCAAATGTTGTACACATCAGAGTTTCCAAATCAATGAGCTTAATCTGTAAAAATAATATCATGAAGACCATCTTCTAGTCACAGGTGCAAATATTACTTCAAATTGTTCTATACTTACAAAAAAATGTTATTTTAAGTAATCTCTTCTTCTTATTCTTAAGGTTCATGGGCTGTTAACTCTGGTGGAAATTTGTAGTTTGTCGACTTCTGGACTTTAGTCCTGTTCCAGAATTTGAATATTGCATGTATATCTGATTTATAGATCTGCCTGTTTATTTGTATGCAGACTGTTGGTTCCTCATCTCTTAGGCAGATGCGCTCTGACTTCAGAGGGGAAAACATAAACAGTCACCTTTTACAACATGCTTGATAGGAAAGCAGTGGGTCGATATTTTTCCCCTCCAAAATGGAGGCCCCGGAACCCACATAGGGACTCTAGGTTATATGTCCGAGCTTGAGAAAGTTAAAATAATAACATCTTGCAAACAGAGTAACGAATTATAGTAACTTTCACGTGCCACTAAATGTAACACAAATGTTCAATCCACAGTAACAATATACCGCTAAAATTGACAGTCTGTGTTTACTAAAAAATCTGATTCAACTTTTGAAAAACTGCAGGTAATGTCACCTTTCTCAATCATTGGGTTTTTCTTTAACTCTAAACTGGATGCTTTGATTTTCTGGTTATTTATTGCCTGGAAATCACGTGCATTTATCACATTGAGGATGTTGCAGAAATTTAATCGTTATCTGGTACCAGTGTACCATCTACAAAGGGACAATGTGGCAGAGCTCTGCATCACCTCTTCAGGTCAAGGAATCAAAAGAGAACAAGACATAAACTGTCTAGGTTGATAATGTTACACCTAGTGTTCAAATCTGGATCAAGGCAGATTGTTTTGTACTGGAGGAAGGTGAAAAAAATTTAAATATTTCGGCCATCTAGTGAGAATGCAGCCAGCCCAAACTGCATATGAGACTTTTTACAGCAGAACACCTGGTATCAGTAAGACGACAAAAGAAATAGAAGAAGCAAAGACACCAACATAGGGCAATGTGTACCAAAAGTTATTATATCCTGGCTTCTCAGGGATTGTTTTTTAAAACTCTGACGAAAGTATTAACATACCTTGTGGTTATATGAATCAGCAACCACCAATTTTCCATTCAAGTAAGCGACACCTAAAGGGTGTTGCAGTTTTGCCTGAAAGCCTTTCCCATCAACATCTCCATAAGCAAAAAGGTTCTGCAAGAGATGAATTAAAGAACAAATCTGTTCAGGCTAATTTATGTTGTATTCTAACTTGATAAAATCTTTTAAAATGTAGCTGTGTATCCTTTACAGGAAGTTGCAGAACCAACCCCAGAATTATTTTGGCTGTTTGTGATTTCTCTAGGTAATTACATGTTCAGTAGTTTTCCCACTGCTAAATGACTGGTCAGCTCACAAAACCTCCGTGGAACCAATGCAAGGTCAAATGACCTGCCGCTGGGATTGAACAAGGCACCTTGGTATTATGCGGCACATTAGCAATAATCTAAGGCACAGACGCACACAAAATAATCTTAAAAATAACTTGAAAACTATACAAAGTTTGATTTGTTTTTTAGTACAGTTTCATTGCACAGGGATATCTTCGACAGTGATGCAGAAGAATCTCAGGACGCTGCATCAGCTATATAACACTGTTAGGAAATCAAATGTGTATATTCTTCTTCTTCTGCATTCACCTTCAAAAGAGCGGTTGGCATGTTGTGATGTAATTTACAGCAAGGCTGCAGTATTTGTGCCTCTCTGGCCATCATATCCAATTTCAGCTGATTAGCCCGATTTTATGACAAGTCAAGCCTGTATAAGGTAGTGGGGGGGGGGGGGGGGGGGGGGGGGGTTGTCAGTTATTTTTATAAACCAAATTTTGGGCCCCAAAACCCATATAGGGAAAATAACAAATGCTTTAATATTCTTTTTTTGTGGGTATCTTCTTTAGTTTTAAAATCTGGCCTATGAACATCCTCAAAGCTGCCTTTATGTATGGCCTGGCTTCTTTTTTCTTTTCTTTTTTTTTTAAATTACTATTCCAAATACCAAGGGATTGTTAATGTGTAAGTGTGTGTAATGTGAGGTCTCTACATTTTTCATCCTTGTCCAAGAAAGATAAATTATCTTATCAACCACTCTAGGATCACACAGGGCTGTACTTTCCTTTTCTTATTTTTTGATGAAGTGAACAGCGCAACAAAACAAAGCATCCATATCTGAAAGACTGATTTTGGGGGGAGTAAGCAGAGGATCGGAACAGTTTTCAATGTGGGGTAGAAAAAACAGGTGGACTTTTAATTGGGCTGTAACTGGCACCATCAGTACCAGACCTCTGTTGGCTAATGAGAAAGGGGATAGAGCATGTATGGGAATGCCCAGAGTGCAATGACATAAATTTTTGACTCATTCATTCTAAATTTTGCAAAAATTCACACAGCACCTGAAGTGAACGGAAGAAATCTTCTTGCAGCAAGCAAGAAAATAACTTCATTTCAACAAGAAGATACAAGCCACAGATTATACAATTTACTACCTGACATATTTCACTGTATCTTGTAGGTGTACACTGAGGTAGCAGAATAAAATAAGAGAATAAAATAAGATAAAGCAAATACACAGCAAACTTATTATTTTTTTTTTTTGAAGAGGATAGATTGTTCTTTACAACAGAAATTATCCACATCCAAGATCACCTTAAACGGACGGAACTGTAAATGAATCTTTTCAATTGAATTCAAAAATTCACCACTCACAGATAACTGCATTTTAGACACACAAAGATATGCCAGGCAATAAAATGCAAAATTCATTGTTTGTGTCTTTTTTTTTCTTCAAACTAACAAACAGGATACACTGCTTTGACTCCTTTTATGTCGTCTTCTTCTGCATTTGCTTCTTGAGGGGGGGGGGAGGGGGGGGGGGGGTTTGAAGTTTACAACTCACCATCATCATCATGTAGCAGGTATTTTGCAGAACGTTGCTCTCTGCACAGTTTGCCTGAAAGAGCCTCGGCCTCTCACCAGCTCTCGAGCCTCATGCACTTTCATATTCAAGGAGTCGCTTATATCCTATGTTAATTCTTTGTATTCGTCAGCCCGTCCCTCTTTCCTGGTACCATGCTTTCTGCTATTATTTTTTTTCTAATCCCTAATGACGCTCGATATGACCAAAATAGTTCAGCTTTGGTTCACAGCTAGGCTGCAATATCTACACTTTTTGACCCAACACATCTGATTTCAGCAATTAGTTGCCTTTTATGGCATGCTTGTTAAGGGGTAGTAGGTTCCCCCCCCCCCCCCCCACCCCCCCCCCCCCCCCCCCCCCCCACCCCCCCCCCCCCCCCCCCCTCCCCCCCCCCCCCCCCCCCCCCCCCCCCCCCCCCCCCCCCAAGACGCCCCAGGAACCAACACAGGGACCTTCTGTGTCACAGAATTACATAAAGTTACCACAAACCTTTGGGTCCCGTTCACCGCCAACCAATCCTGCCACAGCACCTTTAGCCAGGGAAACTGTACGTATGGAAGAACTCTCGCTATCAGCCACATACAATCTTCGGCTAGGATCTTTGAAGGAGAAAGCCAGACCTGATGGCTGGGCAAAACTTGCTTTCTCTGCGTATGAGTTATTCCTGTTCTCCTCTTGTCCACTGCCAGCAAATCGTATGCATGTTCCAGTAGCATATGATCTATTTAAAATATATTTGAACAGTTGCAATGTGCAGGACAGAATGGAGGAATCGAATGCAAGCTTTATATGATATCAAAGGCACAAAAAGATGATGAAAATGTTGACATTAATGTTATGTCTACATAACATTTTTTTTTAAAGGTATCCTAAATTTTAGCAAGACAATAAAATTAAAAGTTAAAGTCGAGAGACACGAATTAAATACAGTGGATTTTATCTCACATGGCTGGATCGCTCTCTGCAGAATAGCTAGCCACCTGCTGAAAGAGTCGCACAAAGCATAAACTCCATAGCTTTAGTGACAACCCCCTAGGAATCTCTGTAAAAAATTCACTCGTGAGCTAAACGGTGAAACCACGAAATAAACCCATGACCTTCAGAACTCGAGGTGAACAATTTGACTACTTCGCAACACAAACGTTAGGTATTACAAAAATATTTATTTTAGTCAATTCATCTTCTTCTTTTTTGCGTTCGGTATCCTATGCTCAGATCAGACCATCAGGTGGGTTGCCTCTATGAACTCGCAAGACAGCAGCACATCCTTCATGGTTCCCCAAAGCTTTCTCTGCAGGCCAGGTTTCTTTTCAAAGTTGAAGGTAGAATGGGCAGGTCTGCAGAATGTACTTAGGTGTTTGTGATCTTGTCTGAGAGGCACAAGAGGGCTGTGTGGTCTTGAGGCATGGTGTCACCGCTAGATGTTCCAGGTTCAATCCCCGGTAAGGGCTGGGATTTTTTCACGTGGTTTTGGACTTATAGTATTTCCCCTGGTCTCTGGGTAGTGAGATCGGACGCCCCTGTGCATTGGTGTGCACGTAAAGAGTAGCCTAACGACGCTGCCCGGGCAAAAATTTGGAGTTAAAATTTACCCAAAGTATTTCAGGATCCTCGCCAGTGTTACAGAGCCTGTGCACTGTGCTGAGCTTCTTCGGACTCAGACTTGAGTTAGAAGAAAGAATGAGCACTTATGGGTTACTACCCGTGTGCCATGATGTTGATCCGTTGTTCAAACCTCAAACCTCTGATAGGCATACTGTGAGAATTGTAGTTTTTATTTTATGCATGTGGTAGTTGTGCCTGCAGCGTCCTGTTTGTGGACCGAAAATTGCTGTGTATTTCTTTCTGTTGAGTCTGCTGATGGGGTATTGTGGATGTCAATTAATTGAGTGCCATTTCCACAATGGAGCTTAGCTTCAACAGTCTCTAATACTGGCGCTCATCCAGGCTTACACTTTCAGACTGCTTTTCAGCCTTTCTTTGATGTTATCCTTCTATATGCATTTTTGTCCACCTCTTGTTCATCTTCATTAAATCTGTTCTTTTATTATGATTTTTTGAAGTTCCTTTGTGGGCTCCGGGGCCCCACTGTGGGGAAAACAAGAATGGACCCACTGCTTCACCAACAAGCATGTTGTAAGAGTAAACTAACAGGAGCTTCCTTTAAAATCAGAGGGCATCTGCCTAAAAGACAAGGAACCAACAATATGCACCCCTTTTAGTCAGATCTGTTAAATGGATGTGCACGCAACACTCAGGTTCTGGAACAAGACTATAAAGTCCAGAGGTGGACAAACATTTAGAACTTTCCGCTGAAGTTTATAGCCAGCAAACGCAAAGAAGAAGAAGATTTTATAAAGTTGTTTTATTCTAATCTAGCCTCTAACTGCAAGTAATTTAAACTTATACAAATCCACAAACACATACTTTCCATGATACCATGTGCTGTTCTTGAAGAAGTATACCCAAATCTGATGAGTGCCAGCCATTGCAATAAATAACACTGGAGAACCTACAAATATTTGATAATCATGCACCATCTGTATCAATAAATATTATTACTTTCAACAAAAATAACTGCACGTTTTCATAAGAATGACTTATAATTACACTCAACTTTTTACCTACAATATCAAATCCTGACAGGTTCTCTTGCTAAACCTTTTCTGCTTCTGTAGTGCCAACAATACTTGGGAGTTGGGGCTGGAGTATGGAAAATGAAATTCCTTAATGCTGTAGTGGAACACAGACCTAGCTGTAAAAAAGTAAAGGACCCTTTTCCACGCCTTAGGCGTATAGGGCTAGACCTATATTTTTATAGACCAATCAGCACAAGATGGGTGATGTGGTCAGTATCACACAGGCTGCCTTCACTTTCCCAGGACTGCACCTGGTACCCACTCAAGGCTGGGTTGACCTGGGAGCCAAGGTCATTTTTGAAAAAAGTCCGGCTCCACTAGGGAGCGAACCCACGACCTTCCGATCCGCGGTGAGAATCTAGCCGCTCGGCCACGACGACTCCCAGACCTAGCTGTAGACCAAGCCAATCCACTTGCTCTGTGCTGAATTCTTCTTCTTCACTTCCACCATTTACCTCAGCGAGGTGTTGGGGGGAGATTTAAGGATCGTTTGTGCGCTTTTTTTCCAAAGCATTATACAAGCTGGTGTCTATTTCTGTTAGATTGCTCCTGATGATGTCGCTCCATATCTTGCATGGTCTTCCCCTTGCTCTGTGTTCATTACATTTCTTTAGCGTGGCTCTCTGTGGCAGTTGGTACCAAGGCATTTCTCCACACTTCTCCACAATTGTGAAGTTCTAGAACAGGTCTTGCAAATGTAGCTTGTTTCTGGACTTGGAAAGGAAAGGAGAGTTCTGCTACACAGTTCCCCTTTGGAGTTGTTACTTGAGTGCCATGTCTGGAGAAAATGGTCTACGCCAGTGGCTCTCAATCTTCCTAATGCTGCGACCCTTTAATAAGTTCTTCATGCTGTGGTGACCCCCCACAGAAAAATTATTTTCGTTGTTGCTTCATAACTTCAGTGAATATGTGTTTTCCGATGGCCTTAGGAGACCCCTGTGAAAGGCTCGTTTGACTCCCAAAAGGGTCGTGACCCATAAGTTGAAAACCACTGGTCTACACTAATGTCATTCTGATAAGTGCAAGCCCTTTTCAAGACCATCAATGAATCAAAGTTAACTTTTTCAGTTAAGTTAAATGTGTATTGTGTGGTTCACTCTTCCAAGTGAATCCCAGACACTGTGTAATGCATTATCTATTTATATGTGCCAGAACTTCTTCCTTCTGTGTTATTTCTAACGTGCCCTATAATAAGGCTGTTCTTGATGCTGTAATTCCTTCTTTTGTATGGTTTTCCCCCTTGTTCTGTCTTCATTGTATTTCTTCAGTGTGGCACTCTGTGGCAGTACCTAGGCATTCTTATCAAATGGCCAAATCATCTCATCTGTTGCTCTTCAATGAAATATATTACTTGTTTCATTAGGTCATCTTCCCCATGTTGGATTGGGGGTTGGGGGGGGGGGGGGCATGCGGGTGGAGGGGGAGGCCTACAGCCACCTAACAAACATGTTGTAAAAGTCGACTAACTAGGAGTGTTTCTTTCAAAGGTGGAGTCCCTCTGTCTTAGAGGCGAGCAACCAACAGTCTGCCTACAAATAAGCCAGACCTGTAAACTGGATGTGCACATAAAACTCAGGTTCTGAAACAAGACAAAAGTCCAGAAGTGGATGAAAAGACCAGGATTTTCTTCCAGAGTACAGCTGGTCAACATGAAACAGAAGAAGAATCCCATATTAGCTACGTCTTCCTCCTCAAGAGCCAGTGAAGTCTCCATACAGTTGGTAGTCATTGTCATCTGGTTAACTACTTGTCAGGGGCAAATTATCCACATGACTCTCACCAGCTGCGACCTCTGGATTCATTTGAATCCACTTGAAGAAAACCTGATCCTAACTTCCTGGGCCTGCTTTGTGAACCTGATACTATGACAATAAGTGTGGCTGAGATTTCCTCCACCAAATGGAAAGCTGCAGTTACTGCCTCAACCTCCTTTCTCAGGTTTGATGTGGTAATTAGTTAGTTAATTAGATGGTTTATTATCACTGCTCTCAGGATATGTCCGTAATTGCTCTGATCCTCCCCTCAGTATGAACCCCAGTGTCCGGCGGCTAACAGTACCAGTTCTATGTTGATTAACAAGTATTCTGATGTGCCTGATGTGTGTCTCGTTTTCTGATGTGGTAATGTATTTCATGTGCGATCAGAATGGACAAGACAAGACTCTCCCATCAAGCCCTCATATGGAGACCAGAAGGGAAAAGAAAATGGGGAAGACCAAGAGAGACTCTGCGTAGAACCATCATCAGGGTAGGCTCAACTATGGGTCTAATGAATATCCAAGACCTAAATCTAACTTATGTCATATGCCAAGCTCACCTCAGTCATGTATCTATCCTCAGATGGACTGGTTAAGTCCCAGTGCAGTCTGAGCTTCTTCTTCTTGCCTCTAGTCCTATTCTGCCTTTCAGCATCAGGTTTTGTAGAGGTATCCTGTGTGCTATATAGTTGCTAGTATTCAGTGTTAAATATTTCATCTATCAATCCCTTATATGAACAGCCTATATTTCTGCTTATACTGTGTCAAGGTAAGAAAGCTCTTTGTGGTGCACTGTCTTGTGGTAGTCTCGGCACAAGCCCAAGCCATTTGATCTTGGTCAGAGTGTACTAAAGAAACCTGACTTCCCCCCAGTGGCCACTGCACTCTGTATTTATACTCTCTGAATATCATGCACTCATGAACTCTACAGTGGTCACTTTCTCCTGTGGGTTAATGTTGTACAGATATATGGGACTGAGAGAACTAACACTCAGCCTTCCAGAAGATTCACAACAAGAAAACCTCTCCTCCTCCTCTTCTTAGTGTTCACCAGCTGTAAACCCTGGTAGAAAGTTCTAGTTGTTCATTCATTTCTAAACGTTGGTCTTCTCCAGAGCTTGTTTTGCATGCACATCTGCTCTTACAGGTGCAGAGGATTTGTATGCAGACTGTTGGTTTCTCACCTCTCTGACAGATGCACTCTGACCTTGAAGGAACCAGCCAACCAATAACTTTAAGATCTGCTGCTCTGATATTGGCTCATATTAATCCATCAGTTTTTTTAAGAATACAACATTATCTGATATTTCATCGTCATCATCATCCTTCGTGTGCCATTAGATGTCACAGAGGGCTCGCATTCCATTCCTCCACTCCGCTCTACTGCATGCAACTCTATCAATTTCTGACATGTAGTTGAGCTCAGCGTTTTCAGTGCCACATAAAAATTTTCTTCTTAATGTTTCCCTTGGACGTCCCCTTTTTCTCAGACCGTTTATTTTCCATTAGTTTAGTGCTTGTTATCTGTTTATCTGTTCTCTGCTTTGCACACACAAAAAAAGGTTACAAGAAGTCAAGTAAAAGTAAAGGACCCTTTTCATACATGCATATGTGTGTTTCTCTCCCTTTGCTCTATCAAATATCTACAAAAGGTTACAAGTATTGTCAGTAAATACTGTTATAGGAGCCATTATGGTGTGTGGCTAATGGAGCCATACTTATTTTTCCTTCAAAAATACCTTGGCTCCCAGGTCAAGTCAGCCTTAAGTGGGTACTTAGTGAAGTCCTGGGAATTAAAGGCGGTTGGCCACATCACCCATACAATGCTGACTGCTCTATAAAATATAGGTCTAGCCCTATATGCCCAAAACATCCGAAAGCACAGAAAAGGGTTTATTACTTTAAATACTGTTACCAACTGACCTTCGTCCAGAGATGGTCCTAGAACGACATCCCATGGTGATGCAATCTCCTGGTCTTTATGTTGCTTTCCTCCTTCCTTGTCCGTTCCTTGCAGTCCTGTTCCTACCAAAGTAACCACTCTCTTCAGTTCCAGATCAATTTTGCGCACACAATGGTTACCTGTATCGGCAACATAGATGCAGCTCTGGTCACAAGTAACTCCTTGAGGTGCAGAGAACTCAGCACTGGTGAAATCCCCATCTTTCAGTCCTGAATGACCACTGCCTACAACAAACTGTAATTCAATAAACAATAATGAATCAAAAATAAATTCTATCAAAATGAATGTTTCAAAGTTTCATTTTAATATCTTTGAGTTACGGCCCTGGTCACTTGCAGCTTTATCTAGCCACTGTTCATCACCAGTGGTCCCACTCATGCATTCTACTGGTCAGACAGAAATTTGATTTATATCAGAAATATGCAGTTAATGAAATGATTTAGTGTATTCTTGTACTTGTAGTATTGTAGATTTATGTAATGTGCTGATGCAGAACCTGGAGCTGCAATGTTCACTTGCCGTTTGTGATATTGTGATGCCGACTGGTTCTAGTTTTCATTTTGTTTGATATCTTTCCAGAATGTTCAAGAACAATTTGTTTGTTGGTTCACTAGTAGTTTTTTTTTTTTTATATGTGGTCTGATGACTGTGAGTTATGTGTTGAGGCTGTATGATCTTCAAGTGGGTTCTCGGGGGAAAATGGAAAGACTTATTGACCCTAAACAAGCATATCCATAAAGGCAACTAATTAAGGGTTTGCTGAAACTGAATATGTTGGAATGAAAGATAAAGCCAAAGGTAAACCACAATGGAATGTGCCAACCACCCTTTTCACATAAAAACCCATGACTTCGGAAGAAAAAGGTAAACCACAATGGAATGTGCCAACCACCCTTTTCACATAAAAACCCATGACTTCAGAAGAAGAAAAAGGTTGCATGAGAGCCCAAAGAAGTATATATCTACTGAAGCTCTCTTTCCTCTTCAAGTTCAGAGATAAAAAAGTACAAGACTGGTACTGGCACTTCAAATCTGTGGAAAGGCAGATAATGTAACCAGGTTTTTATCAGGACTCAAGTCCAGAAGTGGATGAACAACCAGAACTTTCTGCCACAGTTTACAGCTGGGGAACCTGAAGAAAAAGAAGGGGAAAAACTGGTGCTTTTGCAGAATAGAGGGAATAAATTAATATGATAAAAACATCGATGTGGAGCTACAGGAGAAAAGTAAACAAATTCTCAGGAATCAAGAGGTAAAGAAAATACGCTGGCACTTGGACGGACATGCAGAGAAAACCTAAGAACATAGGGTGAGTTGCATGTGACTAGCAAAGGACAGGATGGCTTTCAGTGTCGAGGGAGGTATTAAGTTCTGCTTATTGCTCTTTGGGCCACCACGTCCAAAGACACAGTGTGCTGTTGTAGAGTTTCTTTGATGTTATACACAGACTACTGACCTGATATCAAACAAAGCATCTAATGCCTGCACTTACCAGAATGGTGTTGGGTGATGATGATTACATAAAAACATTATATAAATTTGTTTTAAATTTGATTTTTTTTCCCCTCATGAATCTGACATTCCTTGTGTGGTTCTAGGGCATCATTGTGGGAGCAAAAATAATAGACCCACTTCTCCCTTAACAATCATGCAGTAAAAGTCAATTAATTAGGGCTGCTTTCTTCAAAGTTGAATTGTATCTGCCTGACAGGCAAGAAACCAACAGTCTGCATACAAATAGGCAGATCTGTAAAACTGATGTGCTTGTTAAACTCAAGTTGTGGACAAACAACCAGGACTTTCCTCCGAAGTTTACATCCAGTGAATGCAAAGAAGAAGAGAGAGAAAGCAAACAAATGTGACATGGATTGAAAGGAAAAAATAAATTAAGTCACAAGAATGAAATAATAAGAACTACTGCTAACATTAACAACCACTGCTCACCTGAACAACACCTGACTTGTCAACAACAACAATCCTGTGGTTTCCAGTATCTGCAACCACCAGCCAGTCTCTCTCTGGCCAAAAACACACCTTCCCTGGAAAACTTAAGCTGGAAACTGGAGTTTTATGTCTTTCGAGGCTGAGTGGCAAGCTGTGATGCTGTAAGTGAGAAGAATAGTGCTCTACCGCTAGACGAAGAAATTCCAGAATCCATGACCTGTGACCCTCGCCGGCCAGGGAGTAGATCAGCTGACCTGATGGGCCTAAAAATACCAGTGTTGGCCAGCAGGAGACTGCCAGAGCCTGCAAAGAATGTGCATATTTATGATAGTTGATATTAACTCTGTTGGTACCAAGGAACACATCATGAGCTGGTTATTTATGACTAATTTTACTGACCCTGGTACGGAAAGAGTTAAACCAACAATTTACTTGTTTCCATCTCAGACAGTTGTTATCGTAACTTGTTTTACCTGAATCAGCTGTCTAATGGAGTATGAAAAATAACCATACTGAAAAACATAAAGTAAAAAAGTAACAATTGGGACTGAACATATTCAGGGCTTTTTTTTTCTACCGGTACACAGCACCAGTACATTTTTAATTTCTTTTTTTTTCAGCACTACTGTAATAGACACTTTGCGGTGAGTACTGGCACGTTTTTTTTCTTCTAGATACTATGAACTGAACATTGGCACCTTTTTATTCCTTTTCTAGAAAAAAAAAATGCCTGAACATACTGATCAAACAACTGGACTAACATGAGAAGTTTGACAGTTTGGCACAAATCCAAAGTCCAAATGGATGGACAGCCAGGACTTTACCCCGGAGCTTACAGCCAGTGCAAAAAAAAAAGAAGAAGAAGATTATCTATATCTGCAATATCGTCTCCAGTATGAACTTCAGTCTTTTGTAATTCACTCGGAGACCCGTACATTTTGACTTGCACCGGTACATGTGGTTGTGAAGTTGATTATGTCCTGTTCTAAGGCAAAGAATAATAACTTGCTCTGGTCTGTCCATAATATGGTAATTGTCTTGTGTCGGTTTTGGTGGCTTTCTGATTGATTTGATTATTTCTTCTTCTGTTGATAAGAGACTGGTAGGTACATCAGCTCTTTCATTTCTAGGAACTCTATAGTGGGATGGTATCCATATATATTTGTAAGTGAAGCAACAAGCATGTGAACTCTGACCTATCAAGCTCTCTTTAACACAAACACTTTGTTCTTTTTTCTGTACTCACTCTTTTTTATGCTGTGTTGTGACATCTGTGCCTATCAGCCCAAAATATCTGATTTCAACAAGCTCTTAATTAGTCACTGTTTACATCATCTTGTTTAAGAGCAATGGGTCTAATCTTTTCCCCCCAAAATGAGGCCCCAGAAAATCAACATAGGGAAAGTTTTAGCTGAAAGGATTGCAGAAGGTGTTATCCATACTGCTCAGTCTATCTTCGCAAAACAGCTAGCTACCTGCCGTGAGTGTCGTACAAAGCACACACTGTGTCATTCCAGCAATGATCACAAGGGATCTCGATTAAAAAATGAACGCATGACATGCACAGCGCAAGGCAAACAGCTTGACCACATATCCAAAGAGACTCCTGAAGTTAAGTATAAGCAAAGCACATACAGACTGGCTGGAACGAGGCCTCGGAAATTTTTCCTATCCCGGTTTTAGTTATTTGACGGCCAATAGACTCGAACCTAATGTCCAGCTGGGCATTAGAATCCTATCATGTTACATTTTATGTTCCCTTTCAATTTCTGCCAGTGTGGGTTCCAGGGGGGTGGGCAAGAATACACCCACTGCCCCCTTTGACAAGCCTGTTGTAAACGGCGACTAACCAGACATGTTTCGTTCGAGATAAGAGGGCAACTGCCTGACTGGCAAAGAACCACAGTCTGCAAACAAATAAGGAGTGGACGAACAATCAAAGCTTTTTTCAGAGTTTACAGCTGGTGAATGCTAAGAAGATATAAGTTTCCATCAATAAAGGTCTTGCACCAGACATTTTTTGGGATTACTTTCCCCTTTTAGTGACAAGTACACAACATATACATGCTTATCTACAGTCACAGTGATCATAGATCTGAAGCTGTCAATTTTAATACAAATCTGGGTTCCATGGTAGTTCTAGCCTCAAATGAGTACCTGGAAACATCTTGGGAAATAAAGGTGGCCAACACAACACTGACATCACACAGCAAGTGCCCACTGGTCTATAAAAATTATGTGGCCAGCACAAAACAACCAAGAGGTCTAAAGAAATAGAAAACGGAACCTTACTTTTGTTTTCACAGCGTATACCATATAATAAATAAACTAGCATATTATTTTAAAGCCGGGTTAAAGTTGTTTCTGATCCACTGGCCAAATTTAGAATTAAAAACCTGATTGTGGGTCACAGAAACAAAATCCTATTATAAACATAGCACCCAGATTTCCTTGTGACACAATACTGTTGTAGCTCTAAGATTATAATATCTCGCTATGCTTCTGACCAGAAACATTCCCCCCACTGAAGCCCTTCCAAACATTTCCTAAATGTCTTTGTTCAAGCTGGTTATTTGCTCTGCTATTTTGTGAGCTCAAGTGCCAGATTTTATAGCAATTTTACACCAGGTTCACGGGCCACTAACAACTGCTCAGCGAGCCAGTTTTGGCCCAAGGGCCATAGTTTGCCCACCCTTGGTTTAAAGTCTTACCTGCCACATTTGTGCATCACTGTCATTGACTACAGGATGCTGAATATTGTACCTCAGCACAGCACTAAGTATATTGGCAGTCACTTTTTCATTGAGAAACTTTGCAGAATGCACACCTATTACGACCACGCCAGATTGTGGTGGGAACTCCTTCTCGACAGCTTCTAAATCTGGTAATATGTGCATGCAGTTGATGCAGCAGTAGGTGAAGAAGTCTAAGATTACAATTTGTCCTTTCAGATGATTACTAAATGTCAAAGGCTCTGAGACATTCAACCAGTCTAAATCTGAAAACAAATAATGTAAATATGCATTAGAGATACAAATTGTCAACTGAAATACTTAAACATCATCATTATCAATCAGCAGATCGTTACAGAAAGTCGCTCTTGTCAACAGTCTCTCTTTCTATAGCCAATTCCCCAGCCTGATATGCTTTCATAGCCAACACATCTTTAATGTCTTTCATCCACGTTTGCATAGGTCTGCCTCTGCTTTGTATCCTTTCTCTTTCCCTTTGGTATCCATACGAGAGCTGTTTTAGCAGGTATATCTCATAACGTGGCCAAGCCATTTCCATCTTCTCCTGGTTATCATACTGTCTAGAGTTTCTTGGTTGTGACTTGAAGTAGTTTAGATTTTCTCTCATAAGCTAAATAAAATTGGTTACGCTCACAAAGTATAGCCAAATTATTCTTTGAGTTTCAGGAAACGCATCATGCGCTAATTTGTTACCACCGAGTTCCCCAACTTATCCAAAGTTAGATAGATAACATTGCGAATTAGACATGCTTCAGTTATTTATAGAGTCAAACTGATGAGGGATATGTCTTATGTGTACCAAAGGGTACAACGATAGTAAAGTCAGCTGGCACAAATAGAATAAACAATAATGAAAAGACTATTTTCTTCAGTGTCAGTTAGTTCTAGTGCTTTTACCCTTATTTTTTAGGAACATAGCTATAAAATTACAGGCAAATTGAGTGTTATATAAACTTCATTTTGTGTGAAGATACTTATTATTGTAGGAGTCAGTTTTCTTTACCAAATAATGGTGCTCTGTTATAATGCATCAAAGGATTCTCTTGAACAAAATCTAATGTATAGATTGAGTTTATATTTTACTTATACATTAAAAAGTGGTTCATATTCATTTTTGATTCATTTTGGAAATATTTTAACCAGTTTTCCTTGAGTGACATGGTGGTAAATGGACATTTTTTTTTTATTTCACTAATTTTTGTAAACATACCGTCTGTTTATTTACTAATATTTAACTACTAACACATTTATTTGTTGCAGCTGTATTCTGTAATTATTCCTCAACAATTCCTGGTCACTTAGATGTATAATAATAATATGTGTAAGGAAAGAAAGTAAAGATCCCTTTTCACGCCTTAGGTGCATCGGGCAAATGGGAAGAGCATCCCATATTTTTACAGACCAATCGGCACTAGGTGGGTAATGTGGTCAGCATTATGCCAGCCGTCTTTACTTCCCCAGGACAGCCATCCCGGTACCCACTTTAGGCTGGGTCGACCTGCCACGCAAAAATATGTTATTGAATTAGTATGGTCTGCCACGAATCAAAAAACAAGGTCAACATGGCAGTTAGACATCGAGCTCCGACTCACTTTAGTAATCACGTTCTTGCGACGCACGACTTAGTTGCCAGGGATGTGACTCCTGCAGATCTGCCTTAATGACCGATAAGTTTGCGTGGTTGCGGTGGCTAGCTGAGCATAGTCTTATAAGGAACATGCAAGTATGTTCCTCGTGCAACCGACCTATGTCCCTAGTGCCTCGGCAGGACTGCAGCGACAGATACTGTTATCGTTGTCATACTCGGTGTAGCGTTCGCACCGGGTCGTTTTTCGCCAACTGCGAAATGCCGACCGAGAAAATACTCATGATGATGTACTACTGGCTCTACGGCGTAAGTTCAACGACTGTCATGGTCTTCGAGAGACTCACGTCCTGGGCCACCATTGTAAACTACACCAATTATTTCCGACAGGAATGCTATAATTGGATGTTGAGACACACCGTAGAGTTGGGAGGACTCGATGAGACCGGCAGATCTGTCGTGGTTGAAGTAGACGAGAGCTACTTCTTCCGACGAAAGTATCAGCGCGGTCGCATCCGTCACGGTCGTTGGATCGTCGGGCTAGTAGAGCGTGAGACTGGCCGTTGCTACTTGGAGCTTGTGCGAAGACGAGATGCGGCGACATTGGAGAGGATCATAAAAGATTGCGTCCTGCCGGGAACGACCATCGTGACTGATGCTTGGTAAGGCTACAGCAACGTCGCAAACTTAAGGCATGGCATCTATCTGCACGAGGTTGTAGTCCACCAGACCAACTTCGTCGACGTCGCGCACAGTCACATACACATCCAAACAATCGAAGGACTCTGGATGCTACTCAAACGGACAATTCGCCATCAATTGGGCACCAGCCGCGCGCTATTGCCGTCATATTTAGGAGAATTCCAGTGGCGCCACTCCCACAAGCATCACATTGTCGGCCATTATTTGGAACTCCTACGTCAAAATTTTCATATCTAACCCTAACCCTACCCTTAACGCTAACCCTATCCCTAACCCTACGCAACCGTATGATGACTACGCAACCAAATGATGATAGGTAAGTATGTCATTTGTTTCGTCTCCTCTGTACGGTCCGTATTTGCACTGCAACCAAGGGAGTGAACTCCCACTAAGTAAGCGACCGTCAGCTTTCCAGCTAACGATCGGTATTTAAAGGAGAGCCTTTTAATGTGTTACACTTGTGAACTTTAATTAAAAAATGCATTACCACCCCTTGGGCCTCTCATGCTAAAACCACTAGGACTCAAAGAATTATAAGGCAATCGTCATCACTCACTACTACCACCCTAGATGGATATTCTTTCATAACAAACTTAATTTTAATAATAATATTTGAATATTTGACAAGTCAAGATTTTTTTTTTTTTAAACTGAAGTAAAAGTAAAGTGACGTAACGTACCTGGTTTAAAATCAGGAACACGATAATTAAGCTTGTCAACTGTTTTCAAATGTGTCGGAATTGCCTGCTTGCGGTCGACGGTGTTGTCGCTGAGTGCTGCGTCTAAGTCGGCGATAACACCCAGCAGATCGTAAATAGAAGTCGCCATTGCTACAACAGCGGGTGCCGGCAATGTTTGGGTTACAGCAGACCACTTGTCAGGGTTGCCAGATTTAAAAAAAAAAAAACAACTTTATTTTATGCCAAACGATTGCTCAAAATATGCCAGAAAATGCCAGATAAAATGTAACATTGTACTCGCTTCACATCAAAAGCTATAGATTGAATTCATCACTACCATCCTCACTGGAACAAGTGAAAGACACAGCGTAAACCTTTTCGGATGGTAAAATCTTTTGAGTATTTTCTTAGGTGGGATGAAATCTTTGCAACTCATCTATAATGATGGTGTGTTTCTTGTTCCGAATATCACCAATAAGGTCACTCTGCATTATTACTAAAGAAATTAACCTGCTAAACTGTGAATGCTTTAGTCTATGGAGTTGTCATCCTGCTTTTCAATTTAAATGTCAGATGCTTTTTAGTAATCAGTCGAACGCAAACATAAGTAACAGGATAGGGCTTTGTTGAAACTAATAAATCAACAGAAATACTTGACATCTTTCCATAATGCATTGTACAAAAGATTCAGCGTAGTTTCCGCTACAAATAAGCAGATTTAGTCGTAACCAAACGGTCCTTGGGCCGCAATATAGGTGAGCCATAAATATAGCCAATTGTCTGAACGCGGTTATGGGAGCTCTCCACGGCGATCCTCATCCACATGGTGGCACTTTGTGTCATCGGGTGTTTATCGTTTGTCAGTCAGTCAGTCAGTCAGTCACAAACCGGTTTGCAAACAATTTATCGAGGGGAGGTTGTAGTCAGCTTTGGCCGGCTGCTACACCTCTTAATTAATGTTCTAAATATATAAAAAGTTAGCGGATGTCCTAGAAACGCTAGTTTATAAATACTTCTACCTATAGTCCATGCTATGTAGCATTTTTGTGTAGTTTGACAAAGGCTGCCCGGCGGAAACGCTACGTTTTTTGTGTTGTTTTGTGCACGTTTTTCTGCTTCCCCATTTTGTTGAAGTTTTAAGTCAAATTTCTTTGGAATTCTGTGTAGCATATGAAGTCACGTCTACCCACAACCCTTTGTCTCGTGTACTTTAAATCAATTATGCAGATGATGTTCCATGCCATAATTGTTAACTGTCCAAAATCTTCTTCTTCAATCTCCCTCTACCTCTCCACTAACTTGCCCACCGTCACGATGCACTCTAGTTGTCTAATTATGACATGACCGAAGAGTGTATAATATTTTTTTTTAAATTATTTTTATTAGGCATGAACATTTAGTTATATGCTATGTTACTATTTATTGATACAATTTACGGTATCACAGATAGAAATATATCTATATCATCTTTATTTTATTTTGCTAAGTAGTATCTGAACAGTTTTAATCACTTGGTTGTCAATGGTGGGTTTTGGTTTTATATCCCGCATTTATTCTAGTACATTAACGTGTTTTCCCAGAAAACTCCCACAACCAGCAAAGATAAGTCTTCCAGGCTGCGTGACTCCGTATCGCATGAAGTGTGAACTTGCGATGGTTGATCCATGACCTGCTTTATTATAGTTGATTTACAGGGGGTCTTGGTTTATCGCAGTCACGATCCGTTTTGTAAGACAACATATCATACAATAAGAAATGGCGGGAATCACCGTTAGTCCGTACCAGGTATCCCAACAAAGACAAACTGAAATAAAGATGTTAACTGTAGGCTTACATTGCTTTTAGTAAATCTGCGTGTTTGTCACATAGGAACTATGAAGAAAATGTGAGCACATCTTGTTAAGAAAAGCCAGAAAGACCCAAACACCAAAATAGGCCAGCTCATTATCTTAAACCAGCTACATTTCAAATGCGCCAAATTTAAGGAACCTGGCGTCAAAAAAAATCAATATGGCAATCCTGATGTCTGCACCAGTGTTGCCACTTTGGATCTTTTATATCCAAATTTAGATTTTTTCCCATTTCTTTTAGATACTGACGTTTAGATCGTAAATATTTTCTAGATACTTTTCATATGAGTTAGATATTTTATAGAATTTTTCTTTCATTGTCAATTTAATAATTACTGTGTAAAATATTTAATACAATATTTTTGTTCTGGTCTGGCACGTACATTGTGACAACTGCCATTACTTGAACTTTGAACTCTCACTGGGGTCAACACACAAATATCTGGCAGCCCCGGTACTGATTAATAAAAACGCGCGTTAATCATACTAACTTTGTTTCAACTGTATCCTCACTGTGCTGACTTTGCGTTTATTTTTCATGTGATTTAAAAAAATAATTGCTTACCTTCTTATGTGGCTTTCACTTTGAAAAAAACTTTAACATGCCAAAAGTAAAGTATGAGCAAAAAATTTGGAAAGAGTGGTTGGCTGATGACAACATTTTAAAACTGGGGATTTGATCAAAGCTTGTTGTAAGTACTGCAAGTGTGAAATTAAAGCGAAAATACAAAACTCAAAGAGTCATGCAGAGACTTAAAAAGCATAAAACTGCAGTTTCATTTAAAGATATTACACCGCTGACATCTGTTTTTAGAACTATACTGAAAAATGAATCATCAAAAGTTGAAGTATCAGTCGCAATGTTTTTAATTTGTCACTGCGCAATGTCAAACTCTGACCATTTGATCGATTTGTAAAAAATCTTGGACTAGTTCAACTTGAAAAGTGTGGTGTAGAAAGTATAGTTTAGGAACTGAAGGACCTTTTAATCAGCAAACAGTTAGGCTTGAAGAATTTGGCTGTAATTGGTACTGATAATGCCTCGGTGATGGTTGGTATAAACAATGGCGTTTATGCCAAGTTGAAGGAAGCTAACCCATCGTTAATACTTATAAAATGTATGCGTCATTCATTGCAGCTAGCATTATCACATACTTCATCTAAATATTTACCAAGGAATGTGGAATACTCTACTGCTGAAACACTTTACTGGTTTTCCAAATCCTTTGTCAGACAACAGCAATACAATACATTATATACAGCCTTGAAAATTCTGTCAGATTGCAAAACTAGATGGTTATCAATTTAACCAGCTGTTGAAAGAATTATGAAGCAATGGCTGAAGTTGAAGACACACTTTGAAATAACAAGACAAAGTGAAAAGTGCTACACAGCTGAAATACTATATGGAATGTACAGTGATGAAAAAAAAAAATTGTTATTCATTCTCTTTTTATAACCTATTCTAATGGAAGTGCAAAAAGTTAATAAACTGTTCGAGTCTAAACTTGTTGATAAATTAAATTACTTGATGATCTCACCTTGCTATTTCACTCGGTAAAATACTGGTGTTGCCAACTTCTAAAGCTGATTTGCACTATATAGATCTATTTGGCTCCTAAGCCACACCTTGGATATTAAATCGAATCAAAAATTGATGATTTAAAAACAAAAGGACTGTTAACAGAGAACAACTTAAGAAAACGCTGACAAGATTTCCTTATCTCATTATTAAAGCAATTGAAGCAGAGACTTCCTGAAAATCTAGATGTTTTGAAAAATATTTCACCTTTTTCTGTGAGCAACATACTTCAGCCAATAAAGGACATACCTAAATATTTTAAAGTTATGAAATTTTTAGGGGCTACTGATAATAGTGTCGCGGAAGCAGAATATCAGTTAACCAAAATAAAGTTAGCTGAATGGACAAACAAAACAGAAATTAAAGCGTTTTGGAGTGAAGTGAGACAATTTAAAGATGCCTCATCAAACAGACCATTCTGTAAGCTCTTTAAAGTGCCCTGTCTGCCATGATACTACCCCACTCAAATGCTGACGTAGAAAGAGTTTTCAGTGCTAGGAATTAAATCAAATCTAACCGGAAAAAAAAACAGAATGAAATTTGATCTCTTAAATGCTTTCGTGCCATTAAAATTCGGCCTGATGAGACTAGAGAAATAAGCCTACTGTTCCACTTATAAAAAAATTTGAACAGCTAAAGCATACCCGGGTCATTTTGGATCTGAAGCTTAAACTTCATTATCCAAGCTAAGTTTATCCTGTGGATCTTGTGAGGCAGACATCAGTGAAGATGAGGACATGATTATGTAGGGTAAGTCATAACAAAAGCTATGTAATTTTTGACTTTTTCAATTTGGATATTTTTTCTAGATCTTTTCCACGCAGATTTAGATCTTTTTAAATATTTTTTGACACCGTTTTGGATATTTTTTGTCAAAGAAAAGCAGTGTTGCCACTTTGGATCTTTTATATCCAAATTTAGATCTTTTTCATTGCATTTAGATACTGTTTTCGACGTTTAGATCCAAAATATTTTTCTAGATACTTTTCATATGGAGTTGGATATTTTATAGATTTTTTTTTCTTTCATTGTCAATTTAATAATTATTGTGCAAAATACTTATTACAATATTTTTGCTTTGGTCTGGCACGTACATTGTGACAACTGCCATTACTTGAACTTTGAACTCTAACTACGGTCAACGCACAAATATCTGGCAGCCCCAGTACTGATTAATAAAAACGCGCGTAAATCATACTAACTTTGTTTCAACCGTATTCTCTCTGTGCTGACTTTGCGTTTCTTTTTCATGTGATAAATAATTGCTCACCTTCTTATGTGGCTTTTACTTTGAAAAAACCTTTCAACACGCCAAAAGTAAAGTATGAGCAAACAATTTGGAAAGAGTGGTTGCATGATGACAAAATTAAAAACTGGGGATATGAACAAAGATTGTTGTAAGTACTGCAAGTGTGAAATTAAAGCGAAAATACAACACTCAAAGAGTCATGCAGAGACTAAAAAAGTATAAAACTGCAGTTTCATTTAAAGATATTACACCGCTGACATCTGTTTTCAGAACTATACTGATAAATGAATCATCAAAAGTTGAAGTATCAGTCGCAACGTTTTTAATTTGTCACTGCGTAATTTCAAACTGTGACCATTTGATCGATTTGTAAAAAATCTTGGACTAGTTCAATTTGAAAAGTGTGATGTAGAAAGTATAGTTTAGGAACTGAAGGACCTTTTAATCAGCAAACAGTTAGGCTTGAA